ACAAATTCTTTTTTATAAAAATATTTATTTTTTTCTTTCTGTTTTATCTCCATTACCTCACAGAGGGAATATGATGAGAATGAGGTAGACCCTTACCATGGTAATGAGGAAAAGCTGCCGGAACCTGAGGCCTTGGATCTTCCTGATGACCTGAACCTTGACAGTGGTGACAAGAACAGTGGTGAGGACACAGGCAGTGAAGATGGAGAAGGTGCGTCTTTCAGAAACCCCAGCAGGCCCATTAGAACTTGTTGACAATGAGCAGTAACTGATTTCTCTTCACAGAGCCCAGGGTCATGGCCAAATCAGGAATCATGGTTCAGTTAGCTCAGCCCCACCTTGAGAAGGTGTTTACTTTTCTTTTGTAGTGTTTCTTTGTGCGCATAGGCCACACAGCTCATAGGCCGACAGATTCTCTCACTACTTCCACTTCCCGTGCACTATTTTGGCCCTGCTCTGCCTAGTGGGCTTCACTCTATACAGCTCTGAGCTCCTGCAGTCATTATGGGGTCCCTATAGAGTTAAAAGAATTGAAAGCTGAAAGTGTAACAAGTTATCCACCTTAAGTTCCTTAAATTATGGGAGTTCCTGGCTCCTGACTTTGGCCTGGCCCAGCCCTGGCTGTTATTGTGATGCAGGGACCAAGCCAACAGATAGATGGGAGATCTCAGTCTCTCTGAGTTTCAAATATACAGAATTTTTTAAAAAAACACTGGTCTCCTATCTTTGGTATAAAACTTACTGTTGGAATTTGTTGATGGCTCTTTTTCAGTGGATTAATTTTGAAGCACCATCAAAATAATTGTATTAAATATATGAGTATTGCTTTTAACAGGGTGGGCAAACTTTCTACAAAGTATCAGATAATATTTTAGGCCTTGTAGGTCCTAAGCTTTTTACTGCATATACTGAGTCCTCCTGTTGCACTGTGAAAGAAGGCAGAGGCAGCACAGAATGAGTAAGGTACAAACATAGTTAAAGAGAAGACCTACAGCAGAATTGCAATAAAAATTGACATACAGACACATGTGGGAAACCACAGCTGGCCTATGGGCCATACTTTGCCAATCCCTGGTTTAAAGAATAGTGAGAAAACACTTGCATAACTACTTCCCAGTTTAAGAAATAATAGAAAGTTTAAAAAATCTGTGTTCCCCTTTTATTTATATATATATATATGTGTGTGTGTGTGTGTGTGTATATATATATATATATACTCCACTGATTCACTCTCCAAATGGCCACAATAGCTAGGGCTGGGCCAGGCTAAAGCTAGGAGCTTCATGGGTGGCAGGGGCCATCTTCTGCCTTCGCAGGCACATTAGTAGGGAGTTGGATTGAAGCAGAGCAGCTAGGGTTCAAACCTGCACCACAACTATGGTCCTTCTGTGATAAATTTTTAAAAAAAGAAGAAAAAAATAATTTATTTGAAAGGCAGAGTTACAGAGAGAGAGACAGAGAGAGCATGAGATCTTCCATCCAATGGTTCACTCTCCACATGGCTGCAACAACCGTGTCTGGGCCAGGCAGAAGCCAAGAGCCCAGAGCTTCTTCTGAGTCTCCCACTTGGGTGCAAGTGCCCAAAGACTTGGGCTATCCTCTTTTGCTTTCCCAGGCACATTAGCTGTGACTCAAACCAGTGGCTATATGTCATACCAGCACTGCAGTCCTTGGCTTAACCCACTGTGCCACAACACCGGCCCCATGTTTCTTCTTTTTGTCATGTCTATCCAGAAGAAAATCCCTTGGAGATCAAAGAAAAACCAGTGGATATGGAAGAAGACAGTCACCAAACTGAGGAAAGAAATGGAGAGACCGAGACTGACCATGGTGAAGACCAAAGTCCTCATGAGCCCGAGGAAGGCCCTGATGAAGATGACAAAGTGGAAGGGGAGGAGGAAATGGACACAAGTGCTGACAGCCCAGAGAGAGATACTGCTGAACAGCCCGAAGAAAACTCAGAGGGCCAGCAGCAGTCTCTGGAGGAAGAGGATGGGGAAGCCAGTGAGGAGGGTGGAGAGGATGGCCTCCCTGCTGACCAGGGTCTCCAGCCCCAGGTATGGTGGGCTTCTGGCTTTTCTTAGGTTGAAATAATAAAGAGGAGGAGGAAGCCTCTATTTCCCTAAACTCTCTTCTAGGATAGTCCATCACTGGTCGGCACTGCCAAGGCATTTCAGGTTTCTGTTTCAAGACTCCCTCTAGCTGACCGCTCTCTGCAGACTCCGTCAGTGAGGACTGGGGAGCCTGTTTGCTGCAGCACCCCCAGCCCAGAGCATTTCACACCGTGTCTGATTTCTTTGCAGAAGCAAGTTGAAGAAGAGAAGGAAGATGAGCAGGAGGAGGAGGGGTTGGACACAGAGCAGCAGGTGGCAGAGGCTCCTGAGAGGAAAGAGCATGCCTCATGTGGGCAGACGGGGGTGGAGAACATGCAAAGTGCACAGGCCGTGGAGCTGGCTGGGGCTGCGCCTGAGAAGGAGCAGGGCAAGGAGGTGAGGGCTCTCCCTGCCAAAGCCAGTCGCCTCTTACGTGGTTCCTTCTCTCTGAATTCACATTCTCATTAGAAGTAGTTGGTCTATATGTGGTTTTTGTTCTTGTTGTTTGTTGACATCTAAGATTGTCTCCTATTCTTTGAGAAAGTGATTATATACTTATTTTTGTATACCTCCAGAATATTTGTTAAAGGTTATACACATGCACACACACACCCAGCATATATATGTATTATGTGTATATAAATATATATGTGCATATACATATATACACACACACACACATATATAGCAAATGTCTTCATTTTGCCTTTTTTCTTTTCAAGATTTATTTATTTATTTATTTGAAAGGCAGAAGCTACAGAGGGAGAAGCTTAAAAAAAGATTTATTTGAAAGGCAGAGAGAGAGAGAGCAAGATATCTTCGATCAGCTGGTTCACTTCCCAAATGGCTGCAACAGCTGGGGCTGGGACAGGTCAAAGCCAAGAGTCTAGTAGTACGCCATCGGGTGGCAGGAACCCAAGTACTTGGATCATTATCTGCTGCGTCACAGGGTGCACATTATCAGGAAGCTGGATCATAAGCAAAGGCAGGAGTTGACCCCTGTCACTCTTATATTGGATGTGGGTATCCCAGATTCTGGCTTATACCATTGTGCCACTACACCCACCCCTAGGCTATATTAAAGTGATGATATATGCTTAATAAGAAAAAGTGCTTAGCCTTGTAGTTCTCAGTGGGAGAGTCAAGTTCATGTTTTTTAGCTCCCAAGGAAAGAAAGGTGGCCCATGGACTGCCCACAGCACAGTGCTGCTCACAGTGCCTTCCTTTGCCTTGCTCCTCCCTAGGCCTCTAAATATGCTCATTTATAAAGCAGGGCACTTCTTCTATTCCTCGACTAGTCATGATGTGTTCTGATGTGGTCTCAGTCTAGGTTGTGAGCATGCTTTGGGAAGAACATTGAGTGCCAGAGGGCCTGCTAGTTGCAGTGGTGATACTGGGAAAACTCTGCAGCCTCTGAGCTCCAGTTTTGTGATCAATAACAACAGTTGTTTATACTGCTTAAACAGCCCTGCCCTCATCATTCCTCAGGCGCCCATTAGGAACTAAGTATTTTCCTTACCTCAGCAAGCCCTACGAGAGAACTGATGCTCTTCTTGTTATCTTCTCCATTTTCTGTTGGAGGAAAATAAAACTCAAGTTATATAACAGCCTTAAGAGTGTACAGCCGGTTGATGATGATGCCTGGTTTGTAATGGAGGTCTGTTCTGCCTTTGGAATAAGACCTAAACAGTCCTTGAGGCAAGAACTAGTCAGCTTTGCAAGGAAAAGATACCTGAGAGGGTACTGCAGCTTCAGGTCCTGATGCTTCTCTTCCTGCCAGCAGGTAAGAGCTCAGTCACGGCTGAGTTCCAGGCAAACAGGCCTAAGGCTGTAACTCTGAGATGAGCACAGTGGAGACTGCAGTTTAGTGCTCAGTACAGCTTAGTAACTGGTGATGGTCACAGCTTCTTCCTTCTCATTTTCTTATGTCTTGAATTTCCTAGGAACATGGGAGTGGAGCTGCAGATGCAAACCAGGCAGAAGGCCACGAGTCCAACTTCATTGCGCGGCTGGCTTCCCAGAAACACACCAGGAAAAACACACAGGTTTCTCTCTCTCTCCATTTGAACTCGGTTTGTTGCCTGCATGTCAAAAAAGATGATAGAAATGTGGTTGTTAAAAAACAAAGCCACACTCCTGGCCTTTCCTGTAGGTAGCCTTGGTGAGCAGCCCAGGACTGTGGGGTTTCCCCAGGGAAATCCACCTCTGGGGTTCATTGCTGTGGAACTGAGAGTCAGGTGCTGTGTGCTGCACCACCAGTCTTATTCTTCTCATGATTTTTTTTTTTTAATTTTCAAAAATTAGGTTTTCTTAATGGGGTATAATTTGTGTACATGAAATAGTGCTGAAAAGCAGTCTCCTAAATGAGCCTATGTGCTATCCCTGTCCCCAAGCCACCCAAGGGACCTTCCCCAGAGCAATTGGGTGTTGTCTATTTTATCTTCTCTCAGCTGTTTTCTTCATGTGGAACATCTGTGGACATGTGTGTATGTACATGTGTTTCCTTGCTTCTGTGACTTTATTTCAGATACAAAAGTATATCACAGACATGGTTCTGTTTAAGCTTATAGAAGCCCCGTTCTTTTTAGTAGCTGCATTGAATTCCATTCTTGTGTGGGTGTACCCCTTTTACCTATTATGTGCCTTGTTTTGAGTCTTTCTGTCATTACAGATATAGTGCTGTAGTGAATTTCCTCATATCTCCCACAGAGCTTTAAGAGGAGACCTGGGCAGGCTGACAATGAACGTTCCATGGGTGATCACAATGAGCGGGTGCACAAGAGGCTGAGGACTGTGGATACGGACAGCCCTGCCGCTGAGCAGGGGTCAGCTCAGCCCGAGGCCCAGGTGGAGGATGCAGATGCATTTGAGCACATTAAACAAGGCAGCGACACATACGACACACAGACCTATGGTACGGTGAGGGCAAGGCTTCTTCAGCTCACCAAGCTCTGGGAACTCGGGCCGTGCAGCTCTTAGTACAGATTCCTGTTAGCCGGCACAAGGGATGGCCTTTAAAATTGTTTTGTCTCTAGTAAGAAAAATAGGATAAATCAGATGATTTCTATAATGCAGAAATGCAGCTTGTTTTGGGTATAGGGGGATCCCTGGTCTAGTTTAAATTCTCGGGGTTGCTGGGTTCAGTGTCGGCTTTTGAAATACCCTTACTAACAACTGCCCACTTTCAAACTGAACTCAGGGTGTCTTCATAATGGACATTTTGTCAGTTCTAGGTAGTCCCTGCACTGACAGGAACTGTGAAATTTTGAAATACGTGTTTTCTGCACAAGTGAGAAAGGGAGGGAAAAAGTCTTGGTATGAGAAGATAAGTAGTCAGTCTAGTTTTTCCTTTTATGACTTCTCTTTACTTCATTCATATGTAAACTAGTATTGACAATATCTACCTGTGATGATAGCACAAAAATGATGGCTCTGCAGTAGGCTACTTTTTTCTCTGTCCCTTCTAGCAAAAATAAAGTAGTAGTAATAATAAATACCATGTGCTGAGCTTTTGCCTTGAGCCTTCGATTTATGTTGATGGAATTCCTCAAATAATCCTCCAAACTAGGATCTTTCCATTGTAGAGGTGAGCACAGTGAGGTCAGAGGCATTTAAGAACTTATCAGAGATCACAGTGCTGGGATTCCCATGTTGGTCTTTCTGTGCCCTGTTTTATACTCTTACTCAACTCTGAAGAAACTAATTTACCCACAGGTTAGTAATATAGGATGCTGTTTATTTTGGTCCATCTTCTGGTCATAGCAATAAAAACCCATCAACCCCCCTATTTCTGTGGTTACGTGGATAGTTATACCACATCCTAACTTCTGTAGGAAGTAGAGAACAGTTACATCTGTAGTGTAGACAAGTGTCCAAGCCACATTGCTGGTCAGTGGCAGAACCAGCATGAACAGAATTTTGGACACTAGGAAAGATAGAAACCATTGACAGATCACTGCTTTGTTCTGGAAAAACCTAAGCTTTCTTTGGGTGTGCGCACACATTCATTTCCGGCAGATGTGGCCAGCAAGGAGCAGCAACAGACTGCAAAAGACTCGGGGCAGGATCAGGAAGAGGAGATACAGGATACCCTTATGGACACAGAGGAACAGGAGGAGCTCAAGGCAGCAGATACGGAGCAGCTAAAGCCAGAGGAAGTCAAGTCCAGGACCACAGCAACCTCCGGTGAGTCTTGTGTTTGAACACATCCCTTATAAGCTCTCTGACGTAGAGCAGTCAGTTCTCTTGTACTGTTGTCTAGCCTGTTCCACGTCCTAACTCATGGCCTTGCTGAGTCATCCGCCTATAATTGATTATCTTTTGGTTGGAAGCAGAAAGGTGGAGGAATAGAGGAGTGGCAGGATATCCTGGAAGTTTGAATTTCCAACAAAATCCCATCTGTCTTTAAAATGGGTAGAAGAAATTAGATTAGTACACATTTTCCACAGTTGTGATGAGAAACTATATTTTTTTATTTTGGAAATGTTTTTCAGTTTTATAGAAGTGTAGCATAAAGTGCTATAAAATACTAAGAGATGGAATGAGAAAAATGCATGTGAGGAGATAGCCAGTTTCCATATCAGGGCTAAAAAAGCTCTGTTACAAGGCAGTTCATTTTTAAAAGAGAGCACATACATTCAGCAAATTAAAAAGTAACTATCAGCAGTGGATTAAATGCAAATTAAAAAAAATTGCCAAATGCAAAGCCCTTTGTTTTGTCTCTGTCCTTAGGAGTGTTAAACACTGTTGATTCCTGGCAAATGGAACAGTGGTTTTCTTTTAGTTTTTATTTTTATCAAAATTCTAAGTGCACGTAGTATAAGATTTACAAGACTTAAGATAAACTACAGTTCCAGAACAGCCACCTTCAACATCAGAGTGCAGAGGAGGTGAAATAAGGGAGTTTGAATTGGCCGTGATTGTTGGAGAGAGAAAAACATGTCAAGGAATGAATGAGTGGATGAGTGAAGCTTCATTCACTGTTAGGCTTGATGCTGAAGCTTAGCCTTGATGCTGATACTGTGACAAAACTCTGTCCTTACATGAAACTAGGCTTTGAAGAAATGGAAATGGAGACACAAACAGTTAAAACAGAGGAAGATCAAGACCCCAGGACAGACAGATCCCACAAAGAGACAGAGAATGAGAAACCAGAGAGGAGCCGAGATTCAACCATTCATACAGCCCATCAGTTCCTCATGGACCCGATTTTCCAGGTACTGAACCTCTCACAAATTCCTGCTTTAGTTATTGACAAAATGGTTGGGCACTGTGGCACAGTGGGGCAGGCCATCATGTAGGATAAATACATCTCATGTAGTAGTGCCTAGGATCAAGTCACACCTCCACTTCCTATCCAGCTTCCTGATGTGCACCATGGGAGGTAGCAGGTGATGGTTCAGGTACTGGGTCCCTATCGTCCATGTGGGAGACTCAGATTGAGTCTGGGCTCCTTGCTTCAGTCTAGCCTAAGCCTGGCTGTTACCAGCATTTGGGGAGTAAATCAGCAGATGGATGATTTCTCTATCACTCTGCTTTCCAAATAAATTAAAAGGTAATTGACAAAATGGAATTTTACATTGCTTAAAAATTTTTGTCTTTAGAAATCTTTTTTTCAAAGATTTATTTATTGTTTGTAACTTGACTTTCAGAGACAGAGGTCTTCCTTCCGTTAGTTAACTCTCAAGATGGCTGCAACAGCCAGTGCTGGGGCAAGGCTGAAGCCAGGAGCTTCTTCCAGGTCTCTCACATAGATGGCAGGGGCCCAAGTACTTGAGCCATTCGATTCCAACATTGCAAGTGGTGGCTTTACCTGCTAGGTAAAATGCTGGCCCCTATCTTTAAAACTTATGGAACATCTGGTTGTTTTGGAATATCAAGTCCTTATCAAAATTTTTAGGAGCACTATTGGTGTGACGGGTGTTCTTTAAGCAGATGACACCCCTCCAGCAGTTAGTGCCAGGTCACAGTGCCCTGACCTGTCCTGCTCTCACGTCTGGTTCTTCTTACCATCTTTATGTAAGGAGCCTTCAGGACAACTGGTGAAATAACAAGAACTTGGGCTTACTGTGTGCATTTAGGAAGAGTTGACAACTGAATTTTTTATCCTAGTAGTTTGACCTGTGGCAATACAGATTAATCAGACATTTTCATTACTGTGTTTTGTCTGCTGTGGTGGAGTTATAAATTTTAAATGTTTCCTTTACCCATGCTATCTCTAAGATGGGAAGCAGAAGAATGATTGTCTGCGGTCATCACATTGCGCCATTCAGTTTGCTTCTGTTATGAGTCTCGGCCATGAAGTATATACTTTGAGTTCGTGCTGTAGGGAGGAGGCAGCCAGTGAAAAGTTGGTGATCTCAACCTGGCTACCTCTTACCTGTGGGTTTTTCTTCTCAGCCCTTTTTAAAAGATGTCAGTGAGCTAAGAGAGGAGCTGGAGAGACAACTGGAAACGTGGCAGCCACACGAATCTGGAAACCCAGAAGAAGTAAGTCACAGGCTTTTCCTTAAAACTGTTTGATTTTTGTTGGTAAGATACAACAACTTAATAGGTTCTTAGCTCCAATTACTTCGTAAAAGGGACTGAGCACATGGAGAATATAATTGGAATCCTGAAGCCTAAGTATGTGCAGTGCTCGGTGCCTGCTTTGCCACTAGATTTAGCTAGCTGATGAAAGTGGAGGGAGACAGATGTGTTTAACTCTTCTAGCTTCTGTTGCTGGCTCTGTAACGTGTGATTGGAAAAACTGGGCAAAAGTGTGTGCCATGCCATCCTGAGAACAGACCATGTGGACCACTGCTGGCTGACTTAATGTGGCAGTATAGATTTACCAGGGGTTTCATTTTTAATGCCTTTGCATACTTGTTTGTGTGTACACTCTGTATTGATTATCATCATTCCCACCTTATGTATGTACTGAGTGTTGTGTCATAGTTGGCAAACACGTCATGGGACTTTGTGTCCCAGGACATGAGCACACATCTGAATGAATTAACCCTAGGGATTTGCCCTTGTCACTGTCACTTTTGAAACAAGACTTTTAAGAGCCCACAAATCAATGGCTATACTTGCTTCCATCTGGATTCCTTCTGTACTTACCTCTGCCTCTTCTTGGTGGGTAGACTTTACCCCTTGTGATTGATTTGAATAGGTGTTGATTTGGTTGCGAATTCCAATAATGACCTGCTTCATTGTCTCAGACTTTTTCACTTGGAACTGTGGGTTATGGCTTTAGGGAAGACATTCAGAATCATGAACCAGCAGCTTGCTGAGCACAGCTCTCAGGTGCTTCTGTTGAGAAGGCTTGGGCCTGTTTTCTGTTGCTTTGCTTCAGACTTTTGACCTCTGTAATGATGTGTGACTGGCTCTGACATTCAAAGGGTAATTTATATCTTGTCACAGGAGAAGACTGCAGCTGAGATGTGGCAGAGTTACCTGGTCTTAACTGCACCTCTTTCACAACAGTTATGTGAACAGCTTCGTCTCATATTAGAGCCTACCCAGGCAGCCAAACTCAAGTAAGTCTAACCCATTAGAAGTCCTTGTATGCCTGGAAAAGATGGCAGTGCACTGATTCTGTTGAGCTTTGCACCTAACCATTTATGGTGCTGGCTTCTAGGTTGCCACTTTTGCCACAGAGGCACCAATGTGGTATTCCTTACTCTACTTTCCTGTTTACTTCTACCACAGAAGGTGTTGGGGGGGTGTGTGCTACTCACCTTGATACCTGTTGTTACTCTTTTGCTGTAGGTGTTACATATGTCTTTAAGATTTATCTATTTATTTGAAAATGGCTGCAACGGCCAGAGCTGCACCAATCTGAAGGCAGGAGCCTCCTCCGGGTCCCCAACATGGGCGCAGGGGCACAAGGACCTGGGCCATCCTCCACTGCCTTCCCAGGCCACAGCAGAGAGCTGGATCAGAAGTGGAGCAGCTGGGACTCAAACCAGCCCCACAGGGATGCCGGCACTACAGGCACCGGCCCCACATATGTCTTTGCAATGATAGGTCCAAATCATAGATATAGAACAGAAAAGAAAGACTGTAAGGCCTCATATTCAATGCAGTATTTTTAAAAAGTAATGTTTGTGGAAGAAGCTAAATTTTTTTAAAAGTTTATTTGAAAGGCAGAGAGAGAGAGGTCTTCATCTGATGGTTCATTCCCCAATTGGCCGCAACAACCGGAGCTGTGCCAATCCAAAGCCAGGAGCTTCTTCTGGTTCTCCCACATGGGTACAGGGGCCCAAGGACTTTGGGCCATCTTTTACTGGATCGGAAGTGGAGCAGCCGGGTTTTGAACTGGTGCCCACATGGTAACCCACAGCGCCGGCCCCGGAAGAATATAATTATTGCCTTGTATATGTCCAGTGTTTTTGGCTAGTGGTCAAGAAGAAATGTTTAGTCCTCAGTTAAGTAACACCTTGTTGTGGCAGGTTCCTGGTTATTTGGGATTACTGGTTTTTGTCCTTGAAGAGAATTCTCAGGGATGGCCAGTTGGTAACTAATCTGTGTTGCTGTTGGGGCAAATTCAATAGAGGAGACTATCGAACTGGGAAGCGGCTGAACATGCGGAAGGTCATTCCATACATCGCTAGTCAGTTTCGGAAAGACAAGATTTGGCTTCGGAGGACCAAGCCCAGTAAACGTCAGTATCAGATTTGTTTGGCTATCGATGACTCTTCTAGTATGGTAGACAACCATACCAAGCAGGTAAGCAGAAGTGGATGGCAGTTTGATGAAAATTACCAACAAGCCACATTCTGTGAGCCACCCAAAGGTTTTAAATATGATCTGGCAAAAAGCCGTTTTGAAATTCCAGCTAACCTGTTCTGAGAATGTGGGAAGCATGTGAGAAGACCTAAGATTCAAAGGGTTCAGAAGGGCACTTTCAACACATCTTAAATATAGGTCTTTAAGTCATTTTATTAGATAACCCAGCCAAGGCAATTGCAGGTGAGACTTAAAAAAATTTGCCTGCTATAGATTTACTAAATTTCAAGTTGATAACATTGTATGCCCCACAAATGATGGTATAAATATCCAAATGGCCATTGGCAGAAAAGCAGTTCCCCACTTCTGGTTATAAAAATACCTACCTCATACTAAGAGTTGTGAAGATTAAATGAAGTAAGGTGCGTAGAACATGAAGCTTAGTGGTGCTTACACTAATTTAAATTCTAAGATTATGCTGTCATTCAAGCGGGTGGTAATGAAATATTTTTATAGAGTTCTCCAGTTTGATTTTACTACAAACGGATGAGTTTTAAGTTTGTTTTTAAAATCTGTTACCCATAAAACATTACTTTTTACAGTCTTCCCCAACCCCACCAAAAGGAAAAACAATGCATATTTAGGGAGCATTATTTCTGAAGATCACTTTTATTAGATGGTAGCTACAACAGACCATTCCTACCAGTGTCATGGGTTCTGGCTTTTGTAGATGCTAGGCAGGACCTCAGGCCACCACTGCCTCTGGGTTGATTGTAAATACAATAGCCTCTGTGGTGCTATTCACTTGTGCTCTGTATAAAAAAAGAAAATTGTTTAAATTACTATTTAAGTTATATAAGTTTCATGTATTTCATATGTACAGATTTAGGAACATAGTGATACTATCCTCCCTCCCTCCCATATCCTCCCATTCTTAATTTTTACAGAGATCTACTTTCAGTTTACTTAATGATTGTAAGGCTAACCCTACCCTAAGTAAGACTTCAACAAATAGTATGAAGAAAAAAAATACTGTTCTTCAACAGAAGAGACAAGGCTGTAAACAATCATTGAATCTCAAAATGTCTATTTCACTCCAGTATATTACATTTTAGGTACTCTGTTAGTTACCCCTCATCAGGGAAAACATATCTATCTATCTCTTTGGGACTAGCTTATTTTAAGTATAATAGTTTCCAGTTGCATCCATTTTGTTGCAAAGACAGTATTTCATTTTTATTTTACAGCTGAGCAGTATTCCATAGTATAAATACCATAACAAAAAAACATTTTTTGTGGGGATGTCGATGGAGAAGATCGACAGGCATTAGGTTAGAGGATTTCTGATTTCTTACCTCCTTAACTTTGTATTTCATAGCTTGCATTTGAATCGTTGGCTGTGATTGGAAATGCTCTCACCCTCCTGGAAGTGGGTCAGGTTGCAGTGTGCAGGTAAGGCTGGCTTTTTAACCTCACTGGGAAAATCCTTTTCAAACATTGTTTTGTTGTTCTGATCATACAACAAAAAATAATTCCAACTGTACTGGGTTTTTGTCTCCCAAGTTTTGGAGAGTCTGTCAAGCTGTTACATCCCTTCCATGAGCAGTTCAGTGATTACTCTGGCTCCCAGATCCTACGGCTCTGCAAATTCCAACAAAAGAAAACCAAGATTGCTCAGGTATTGTGAGGTCATCAAACGTCTTCTCTATTTTTTTTTTTTTTAATTATTTATTTGAAAGGCAGAGTTAGAAGACCTCGCTCTTGCTCTGCCTCTATCTGCTGCTTCACTCGCCAGCTGGCGGCAGTGGCCAGAGCTATGCAGATCCGAAGCCAGGAGCTTCTTCCGGGTCCCCCAAGTGGGTGCAGGGGCCCAAGGACTTGGGCCAACTTCTTCTTTCCCAGGCCATAGCAGAGAGCTGGATCAGAAGTGGAGCAATCAGGACTCGAGCCGGCGCCCATACAGACTACAGGCATTGGCTTTACCCACTGTGCCACAGCACTGGCCCCGTTCTCTAGTTATTCTTAAATTGGAATTGGAGAGGTGTAATTTTTAGAAAGCCCCCAGCCCCCAATATGGTACTAGGACAAGTAAAGTTTGCAACAGAACAGTGCCAGGCCTCAACCTGTTTACCACTAGAATGGAAGCCTCCTTGGCATCCTCTAAATCAAGATGTGATGACTTTTTCTCAGTTCCTTAAACATCACTGGACTTGGCACCAGTGGTTTTTCTGGCTTCCTATGTTTTGAGTGGTGTAGAACATTTTTGCAAAAGCAACTCATCCCCAGTACCCTTATCAAATGGGTCAAGTTTGTTCCTGCTGTAATTTAGCCTTCTTTCTTTAGGTCACACTAGACAGTTTCTGCTTTCTTTTGTTCAGGTTTTGTTTGTTTGTTTGTTTAAGGTTAGTTGTATTTGAAGGACAGAGCAACATGACAAAAGGGAAAGACTTAGAGAAAAAGACACTCTGTCTGATGGTTCACTCCCCAAATTACCACAACAGCCAGGCTGAGCCAAGCTGAAGCCAGTAACCTGGCACTCCATATGGGTCACCAGCTTTGCAGGTGGCAGCTTAACCTGCTGTGCCACAATGCCAGACCATCCGTTTTCTTGAAAGAAGTCAGCTGTATTAATTGACTTCATCTTTCCTGGGGAAGCATTTCTTTTCTTTTGGGATGCCTTGCAGAGAGAAGAGCCAGTGACACCTGCCTTGTCTATCCTTCAGAATACCTGGATCCCTAGGTGTCCACCATCTTCTACTACAGGTGGTCAGAAGGGACAGTTTGATTTCCCATTGTCACAGAGACTGACGTTACTTCTGAGGTCTATGGGTAGAGAGTTTAGATTTCTAATTGTGTCTGGTTTAGTTCCTAGAATCTGTGGCCAACATGTTTGCAGCCGCCCAGCAGTTCTCACAAAGCACCAGTCCAGGTAAGCTGCATTATCTCCCCTTTTCAGGTTCCTTGCTTTATCTCAGTGTCCCCATTGCATGACATGTAAGGGAGGGGCAACAGGCATCAATGAAATTTTTTACTCAATCATTTGCTCAGATTTTTTTTTTTTTTTTTTTTTGACAGGCAGAGTGGACAGTGAGAGAGAGAGAGACAGAGAGAAAGGTCTTCCTTTGCTGTTGGTTCACCCTCCAATGGCCACCGCGGCCGGCATACCGCACTGATCCAAAACCAGGAGCTTCTCCTGGTCTCCCATGGGGTGCAGGGCCCAAGCACTTGGGCTATCCTGCACTGCACTCCCAGACCACAGCAGAGAGCTGGCCTGGAAGAGGGACAACTGGGACAGAATCTGTCTGGCATGCTGACCGGGACTGGAACCCGGTGTGCCGGCGCCGCAGGTGGAGGATTAGCCTAGTGAGCCGTGGTGCAGGCCTCAGAAATTTCTGTTGGAACCTATTACCACCCTAATTAATGGTGTATACTTAGTTGATAAATTGAGTTCAGAGTTGTGGGGGGCAAAAAAGGACTAAGGTGTGAAATTAATATAAGACTGCTACATGGGGCAGGCGCCGGGTTCTAGTCCCGGTTGCCCTCCCAGGCCACAGAAGAGGAGCAGTGGAGGATGGCCCAGGTGCTTGGGCCCCTGCACCCGCATGGCCCTGGCTTCGGATTGGTGCAGCGCCAGCCGTGGCGGCCATTTGGGGAGTGAACCAACAAAAGGAAGACTTTTCTCTCTAACTCTACCTGTCAAATAAAATATTATGTAGCAGTCTTTTTTTTTTTAAATAACAAAAGAAAACACAAAAGAGGACATAATTCAAAAAACAGCTTAAACAATTGCTGTTGCTTTGGGGTTTGAAACACACCAACTGTTTGTATAGCCCTTTCCAAAATCTCAGGCCTGGCTGTATCATGGAGAAACTTGGAAGTAAGCCAATCACACCTTTCAGCACTTGCTAAACTTCCAACAAGGCCAGCCTGCCCCCAGCACTATTATTATCTTGAGCTCATTTAATTAAGGACCCCTTCTGTCTATGCCGAGACTTAGTTTCAGAGATCTGGTATGTGTATATATATATATAACTTATATAAGGTGAACAAATTTCATGTATTTCACATATATACAAATTTAGGAACATAGTGATACTTCCCACCCAATTCTTCCTCCTCCTCAATTGTTTCTTTTAATGTTTGCAATGACATACCTTCAGTTTATTTTATGATCATAAGCTTAATCAACAATGGAAAGGAAAAAAAAATCACTGGTCTTCAACAGTAGAGATCATCAGATCTGAAAATGTCAATTTTGGTCATATACATTACTTTTTTTGTACTCTGGTTTTAATACTTTAGGCCACTTGTCGTAGCTCAGGTGGTTTTGAATTTTTGACAGTGGGTTTCCATTTTATTCCCTTCATCATGTGTTCTGCAGAAATTGCACAACTCCTTCTGATAGTCTCTGATGGACGAGGCCTTTTCCTTGAAGGCAAGGAAAGAGTCCTGGCGGCAGTGCGGGCCGCTCAGAATGCCAACATCTTTGTCATTTTTGTTGTATTGGACAATCCCAGCTCTCGGGTAAGTGATTACTAAAAAGCCACATTTTCTTGAGATAAAGGGATTCCTTTCAGTTTATTGTGTCTGAAATATGGCCTGGATGGTGTTCCAGCATATTGAGAACTAGCATTCACTGTGGTCTGAGACTGAGAAAATACTTACCAAGTGCCTAGAAAAATCTTGACAATAAGGTGGGAGATTTACTGTGTCTTCAGAACCATTCTCTGGGTCATAACTTCCCTATGAATGGCCATAATTGGCCCTGAGCACTTTGAAATCAGAGACAAGCCCCTTTCCTAGCAGCGAGCATCAGCCAGCTTAGTGAATATGCTCTATATGGGAGGCATTGTCTCTGCAGGCCACTTCAAGTCCTTGATGGCAGCATGAAGATTCAGTGGGAATTATTCCAGGCAGAGAATGGCAACACTATTGTAGGAAAGCACATTTTCTAGTCTGTTCTCTTCTTCCCTTCTCCTGGAAGGAGTGCTCAAAAAAAGGCCTGCCTCTGACTTAGGTATAAGACATAAAACTTGTCAACAAAAAGATCATAGAAGAGCTAAACAAATATGCTGATTGAGTTTTCCTTTCTCTGTTAATGTCTTGTTGACAGGATTCTATTTTGGACATTAAAGTACCAATATTTAAAGGACCTGGAGAGATGCCTGAAATCCGATCCTACATGGAGGAGTTCCCATTCCCGTTCTATATCATTCTTCGAGATGTGAATGCGCTTCCTGAGACTCTCAGTGATGCCCTCAGGCAGTGGTTTGAGTTGGTGACAGCCTCTGACCACCTATAGAACAGAAAGAGTGGTCCAGAGTGAGACTATGTACATATTTAAACTACACAATGTCACACTTCGTGCCCAGATGCTTCCTTTTGGACAACTGTTTCTGAACGCAAAGCTCCAGAATGCGATATTCTTTTGTCTTAGATCTAATTTATAAAAATTTATCCAACAGCTACAAAAAATTGTGCTGCAATCTATGTTTTTATTATACAGTATGATCTCAGAGCTTAGTTTTTGGACTCACACTCTTGCCTGGGCTAAGTTTCTTACAACAAACCTGTGGCAGTGAAGGAGCAGCAGGTGTCACTCTGAGAATTGAGACAGAGCTGCCCTCCCTATGTTAGAAGCCTTGGCCAGAGGAGAGGCCACACTGTGGCACTGCCTGCTTTCCCTCATAGGGGCGCTTGCCTCTATGAGCTCTGCCTTGCCAAACCCACCCACAACTACATATTGTGAAAGGAACTGCCTTCTCCTTGAGGACAGGAAATGTGTGCTGTGTGTGAACTCATAAAGCAACCAGGCATTATGGGACTTCAAGCAATCAGCAAAATGAACCTTGGGCCATGTGAATACAAAGTGGCTGTTCTGTGTCCTTTACTTTTGCTGCTGCAAGAGACTATGCAATGATGGAGAAATGGCTTTCTCTTTATTTCATCCTCTCAGTGCCATGGTCCCTATTGTTGTAGTAATTTATTTCTTTAGTTCGTTTTAACAGTTAAGGAGAAAATACCATTCCTCCCACTGCTTTTAAGCTGGACTGAGTCTGTCTGTCTTTGGAAAAGAAATGCTGTGTCCACAAGAACTAAGCAGCTCCAACCCCAGCCCCTAGTCAAAGGCAGTTTTTAAGTTGGCCAGAAAGCAGTGCTTGAATACTTGAAACCATGTGTCGTGTTCTATTTAATATCCTGTCAGATGTTCTTTTGTAGGCAACATGCCATGATGTGTTCATCTGTCCCCTCGTCTGTTTCCAAGTTACACTGTGAAACGCGCCACCCTTTTGAGGTGGTCGTCAAAGGCAAATTGTTGTTTAACCAAATGTCCTAAAGCATGTACCCGAAGTTACAGCACCATTATTTTTTAATTCTAAAAAGCTATGCAGCTTATATTCTGAAAACTATTAAAACATATACCCCTGTTGGTGTAATTTGTGACTATGCTTACTGGAATACAGCAAAGGCATACCTGGGTTGAGCTGGTAAGGGCTTATTTCTCACTGGTGTTCCTGTCCACTCTGATGCAGAGAAAAGGGAGATTTGGAGGAACACTGCGATGCCTCACAGAGACTCTGCTACACAATGACCTATCATCTTGCCTCCATTCACATTTCCTTAGTGCCGCTTAGTAGGGAAAGACAGCAACGTCATGACAATGAAGCAGTCTGTTGTGTCTTTAATCAGCAGGTCTATATCTAGGATATAGTTACTTCCCAACTGGTATCCCCAGAATGATTCTCTCGGCCCTGAGATATTTCATGGGGTCTTAAAGAGTAGGAATTCCAGTAAGCAGGTACTCTACAGTGCCATTTTCAACTGGTGGGGGTCCCTGGTACAGGGTAAGACGTACAACATACCTGAGTCACTTACTGGGCTCTAGGCTGCACTAGGGCTTGCAGGGATGGAACTAAATCAGCCTCCATGTTAATGCCAGCTGCTGACATTGTGTCCTTCCTCCATCCCCAACGACCCAGTCTCCTCAGCCAGATAAGCTCTGACATTTAAGGAATGGGCAGCAGAGTACAAGTGCTCTGTCAGGTTTTCCTTATTTCTTTGGACAACTTTCACCATCTCATGGTCTCAACCATCACCTAAGCAAAAGGCCTGCCCCCAAAAAATCTATTCAAGGATCAAACAAGGCTCCGTTTTGGCAGTCTCAATTCTGTTCAAATGTCTAAAACACTACTAGATGCCAGACTCTTCAATATATCATGTTCAAATATGACACTGAATTCTCCCTTCCCAAACCTGCTTTCCAGTATTCCCTGTCCACACGGACCACCTTTCACAGCCACTCTTTATAAACTTGGATCTCAGCCTATACAGCCACCTTACTTTCCTTTCTCTCCATCCAAACCCAAGTCAAATTAGTTATTGTGTCTGCTCTATTGGACATCTATCCTCTCCTAACCTGACTACTTCAATAACATTTGATTAGTCCTGTATTTTTCCTTGTTTCACTTCATCCTGCTCACAAATAGAATCTCTCCAGCTGAAGACTAAGCTCCCTCTGGTGAGGCAGGTACTGTGCAAACTACTGCCTGTGACCTGAGGATCTTCCTGATCCTCCCTTCCCTTCCAGCATCCCTTCATTATCTGAAAAGATCACAGCAAACCAGAGTTCCTGGAATCTGCCAGTGTTCCATGAGTTGATGGAAGTTCTCTTAGCTAGGTTTGTCAGGCAGAGTAGCTTAGATAAGCCCTCCATGAAGAATGAGCTTCCAGGATATAATAAACCTTGCCATTTTTTTCTAAGTGCTACATTGGCCTTATGAGTCCGAGGACAGGGAAGATATATGGCTCAAGACGTTATTACCTGTGTCTAGCACAAGTTTCTGGATAAGAGGAGAAAATAATGTAAAAATCTGTCCTCACATACTAACACATAGATCCAATGCATCAAAATCTCAGTAAAGACCCTAAGATGAGGGCTGGTGCTGTGGCACAGCGGGTTAATGCCATGGTCTGGGAAAGCAGTAGAAGATGGCCTAAGTCCCTGGGTGTGGGGAGCAACTCGGACTAGACTAAGTTACTGGAATTAAGACTTATTCTATGCATCTGCTCTCCCACAATATGGCGCTGAGAAGGGAGTAACAACTTCTACGCAGCTGCCTCTCACCAATTTGATTGAGCTGCAGGAGCTGATCTTGCTCCTGATTGGAGGAGAGCAGCGTACTCGGTGTGTGGGTAGCAGAGTTGGGATTGGTGGAAGAGGACTATAAAGGAGGAGAGAGACAACATGCACCAGGAACATCTATCTGAAGGAACACCTGCGCAGCCCCCGAGAGAGCCGGCCGGCCGGCGGTGTGCCGCTCCCCCACGTAAGTGGGGAAAGTGGCTAGGGGGAACCGCCCTTCCACGGAGGTGGAAGGGACGGTAGCCAACCCGGGAAGAACCAGCAGCAAACCCGGGAAGGGCCGAGCAGACAAAAGAACAGCGCCAGGTCCTGTGTCGTTCCTCCACGAAGACGGGGAGCGACACCTGGGCCCCTACACCCATGGGGGAGACCCGGAAGAAGCTCCTGGCTTCGGATCAGTGCAGCTCTGGCCGTTGCGGCCAAAAGGGGAGTGAACCATCGGATGGAAGACCCCTCTCCCTTTCCCTCTCCCTCTCCCTCTCTCCCTCTCTCCCTCTCCCCTTCTCCCCCTTTCCCCCAGCCTCTCTGCCTCTCCTCTGTATAACTCTTTCAAATAAAAAATTTTTTTAAAAGACCCTAATATGATTGAGAAGAAAGTAACCTGCAAACATTTCTAAAGGTCACACACACCAGTAATAGCAGATTCTGAGAAGCAACTACACAGAGTCCTTTAACATACAAAATATACTTGCGGGGACATCAGATTCCAGTCAGTCCTAGTGCATGTTCGAGTGACCCTCCACCCCTCCCAAATGCTTCAATAAAGCACTTTGGCCTCAAAAAAAGGGTAACATTTACTACAAGATGAAACAGTCCTGAACACATTTTATCCTGACTCTAAAATAATTTGCCATATGGCCAGTGCCGCGGCTCACTAAGCTAATCCTCCGCCTGCGGCGCCGGCACACCGGGTTCTAGTCCCGGTCGGGGTGCTGGATTCTGTCCCGGTTGCCCCTCTTCCAGGCCAGCTCTCTGCTGTGGCCCGGGAGTGCAGTGGAGGATGGCCCAAGTGCTTGGGCCCTGCACCCTCATGGAAGACCAGAAGCACCTGGCTCCGGGCTTCCGCCATTGGGGGGTTAACCAACGGACAAGGAAGACTTTTCTGTCTCACTGTCCACTCTGCCTATGAAAATAATAATAATAATTTGCCACATGGTCGAAAAGGCATCATCAAGCCGGGGGGCAGGGGGGTGGGAAAAACGTCACAGCTTAGCAGCCTGAAAAGGATTTAGATCCACATCATGCTATAAAGCAAATTTTAGATAGAGCAAATACTTTAAAAAAAAAAGTTCTGAGTGGAAGATGAAAACCCTCAAAGACAAAAAAAGGAAAATAGAACTGTATAGGAACTTAGCTTCTGTACATATAAATTACCAAAAAAGAAAAAATGTAGAACAAACAACCCCACATAAAACTTGAATAAAAGTCCTCATCATGGGGCAGTTGCTACCGTGTCATAGGCCAAGCCTCCACCTGCGGTACCGGCATCCCATACAGATGCCGGGTCACGTCCCTGCTGATCCTCTTCCAATCCAGCTCCGGCCATTGTGGCTTTTGGGGGAGTGAATTAGCAGATGGAAGATCCCTCTCTAACTCTCAAAATCATTAAAAAAAAAAAGAGAATAGAAGAGGTGCTGGATCGTCAAGTGACGCCATGTACAGGCAATTCACAAAAGAATAAGTAACTTGGAAATGGTGAGGGCTATTGAAGTTCACCAGTGCTTAGGCCAGTGACCAGTAGTAAACTGTAGCCACTAATCTGTTGCACATTTGAAAAGTTATTGACAATGTGGTCATAGAGACCTGGTCAAGTTCAAAGGAGTTCTGACAGGCCAGGTTCTGCTCTTAGCGCATTACATATGAGGGTACTTCAAAAAGTTCATTGATAATTGAATTAAAAGATGTTTATGTTGCTACAAAAATTTTCAAATCCATACATAATGACAGGGTCTTTAAGAAGCCCAATAAAGGGGCCAGCTGTGTGGTGCAGCTGGTCAACGTCCTGGCCTGAAGCACTGGCGCATCCCACGTGGGCGCCGGTTCAAGACCGGGTGCTCCACTTCCAATCCAGCTCTCTGCTATGGCCTGGGAAAGCAGTGGAAGATGGCCCAAGTCCTTGGGCCCCTGCTGCCATGTGGGAGACCCACAAGAAGCTCCTGGCTCCTGGCTTCAGATCAGGACAGCGGCTGTTGCACCCAATTGGGCAGTGAGGCAGCGGATGGAAGACCTTTCTCTGCCTCTCCTTTCTGTGTAACTCTTTCAAATAAATAAATAAATCTTATTTTTAAAAAAAGTTCAAGAAAAATAATTATTATGAAAAGAAACTGGATTTTAATTTTTTTTTTCCAAAAACTACCTTATAACGATGGGAAAACTAACTCAGGTCAAGACAAGGGAAACTCCAAGCCTTAGGCTGCACAGCCAATCTCAGCCGGAACCCTGGGACTTAGCGCTCAGGCAGCGCGCGCCACCGTCTCCCAGGAAACCGAGGTCGCCCCGCCCCTGCGCACCAACCCCACTTCCGCTCCTGCGCTCTGCAGTCGGCGGACATGGCCGCCTCCCGCTTACCTCCGGCAACACTAACGCTGAAGCAGGTAGCAGCAGTTCTCTCCAGCCTCCTCGATCACCTTTCTGCGGTGCGAGCGTTCAGATGCTCTTCTCTGCACGCTGGCTGTTAAGGCGACTGCAGTTACCGCGGGGTTCTGACAGCTTTTCTCCAGGCGTGGGAGCGGGGCGGGGCCGGGAGAGTGTGTGGGCTGCCGGCCGGCCGGCGCTTTATTTCTCAGAGCACCGCCCCGCCCGGTGGCTGCTGAAAAGACCGCCTTGAGACAAGCAAGGTCACGGAAGATCTTGAATTACCGCACGTAGGGAAAGTGCCGATACTGTGATTAAAGCTCCTAAGAGAGCGGCAGCCCCTTTTCTACCTGGTAAACTCATCAGCTTCTGTTTTAAATGTTCTTACAATTAACAAACGAGTAAGCAAAGAGCTCCAATGAACTTACCCCTTTCTTCGGAAAAAATTTTTTTTCTTTGTCCCTTTCAAAATTGAGGATCTGGAAGTCTGGTTGCAGTTTGGCTTGCTAATGTGGCGCCACCGGGCTGGTGACTGTGCCGTGGTAACTGCCATTTCTCCTCCCGTACAGTTCCTGCGAAGGCAGCAAGTTCTCCTTCTCTACAGAAGGATTTTACGAGCAATCCGGCAAGTACCAGATGATTCTGATCGCAGATACCTGAAGGACTGGGCAAGGGGAGAATTCAAAAGGAACAAAAGTGCCACCCAAGAGGTAAGAACGAGGTAATGGTGCGGGCTACGTAACCCCTGACTCGTTCGTATTTTTTGGCCAAGTTTTTACAAAATTTACCAGTTTTGGAATATGAACAGCCCTAAGATGGTATATTTTGACCTTGCCTTTTAATGTTACTGATTTTCCAAACAAGTACGTTTAAAATTTAAGGTTGTGCATTTACAGTCTGTGGTAGCATCACTTGGCTTCCATGCTGTATTACATTTTAAATATCTATATATTTGGAAAGCTTCTGGCTTTCCTTACATGCAGCATTTCTGAGTCTCATTATCGTTTCTTGATTTTAATAAGTAAAATGGTAGAGCTGTACCTTGTGTAAAAACAGTGCCCAGTGGGGCCAGTGTTGTGGCTGTGCAGCAGGTTAAGCCACTGCTGTGACTTTAGCAGCGTCACGTATCAGAGTGCCCATTTGAGTCCCGGCTGCTCCAGTTCCCAGTCCAACTCTCGGCTGATGTGCCTGGGAAAGCAGAAAAAGATGGCTCAACTGCTTGGGCCCCTGCCACCCATGTGGGAGATGGAGGCTTCTACCTGGCCCAGCCTGGGACACTGTGGCCATTTGGGGAGTGAAACGGTGGTAGAATCTTTGTCTCTCTCTCTGTCACACTGACTTTTAAATACATCTTAAAAAAAAAAAAAAAAAAAAAAGTGACCAGATTATTACTTTCTTCTACAGGATACAATCCGGATGATGATCACTCAAGGCAATATGCAGCTCAAGGAATTAGAAAAAACACTTGCTTTAGCAAAATCTTAAGTGTAGCACTATTCTGAAGGGTTTTTAGTCTCCATGTGTTTTGCTGAGTTGCGGCTTAACAACAGACAGCTCAAAGCGAAGCTGAACTGTTTGTATGTACAGTCCTTGGGCAAAATATGAGAAGATGGAGCATGGTATGTCACAGAGTGGGCCCCTCCTCCCCCAGAAAAAGCCATCAAAATGATTGCCTTAGCACTGAAAAGCAAACCATGAGCTTTAAAAATGTTCCTGGATGTATTAGCAGTTTTCTTTAAGAAGCAAAAAGTACTGCAGCAATTGGCCAGCTAGCACAGAAGGAGATGGTCAACACAATCTTCAAGAAAATGCACATCAAAACCACGGTGTGGGGGTGGGCATTATGGCACAGGCTGTAAAGATTAAATGCTTATTCCATAATGCAGTGCCCAGTTCTAGTCCTGTCTCTGATCAAGCTTACTGCTAATGTGCACCGTGGGAGGCAGCAGATGATGGCTCAGACACTTAGGTCCCTGCCACCCACATGGGAGATGCAGGTGGAGTTCCAGGCAACCGGCTTCCACCTGGCCCAGCCCTGGCTCGAAGGTCTATGAAAACCAGTGGATGGATGATCTGTCTCTCACTGCCCTGTAAATAAATACGCACACACACGATGAGCTAGCCCTTCACTTCCACAACCCCTGTAATTAGAAAGGGCAATAGCATCGGTGAAGATGTGGAGAAATTGGAACTCACTGCCGGTAAGAATGTGAAATGTCTGCAGCCACTTTGGAAAACACTGTTCCTCAAAAGATTAAACAGGAATTGCCATGTTTAGCAATTCTACTCTAAGGTCTGTAACCAGAACAACTGAAAAGCATCAGTAAAAAAAAATTGAACATGAATGTTAATTCACACAGCCAAAAAGTAGAAATGATCAAAATGCTGGCAAACTGCTAAATGGGTAACTTGTGATATATTCATAGAATGAAATGTTGGGGCTGGTGGTGTGGCATAGCGGGTTAAGCTGCTGCCTGCAGTGCCGGCATCCCGTATGGTGCTGGTTCTAGTCCCGGCTCCTCCACTTCTGATCCAGCTCTCTGTTGGTGGCCTGGGAAAGCAGTGGAGGATGGCCCAAGTTGGGAGACCCAGAGGAAGCTCCTGGCTTTGGGTCACCACAGCACTGGCCATTGTGGCTATCTGGGGTTGAACCAGTGGATAGAAGACTTACCTTTCTGCCTCTAACTCTGCCTTTCAAATTAATTATTAATTTTAAAAAAGAATGAATGTCATTTGGGGTTAAAAAGGAACAAAGAGTGATGACATGCCACACTTGGATGAACCTTGATAACGTTGTTGAAGGAAGTCTGTCAGAAATCACATACGGGGCCTTCGCTGTGACACAGTAGGTTAGTCCTTCACCTGCAGCGGCGGCATCCAGTATGGGTGCTGGTTCTAGTCCCAGCTGCTCCTTCAGTCCAGCTCTCTGCCTGGAAAAGCAGAAGATGGCCCAAGTGCTTGGGCCCCTGCACCCACGTGGGAGACCTGGAAGAAGCTCCTGGCTTCAGAGCGGCCCAGCTCTTGCCATTGAGGCCATTTGGGGAATGAACCAGTGGATGGAAGACCTTTCTGTGCGTCTCTGCCTGTAACTTTACCTTTAAAATAAGTAAAATCTTTAAAAAAAAAAAATCACATAAGCCACCAGCATTGTGGCACAAGTAATGCTACTGCTTGCCATATGGGTACTGGTTTGTGTCCCGGTTGCTCCACTTCTGATCTGGCTCCCTGCTAATGGCCCTAGAAAAGTGTTTGGGCCCCTGCTTCCCATTGAGGGAGACCTGGATGAAGCTCCTGGCTTTAGCCTGGCACAGCACTGGCTGTTGGGGCCATCTGGGGAGTGAACCAACAGGTGGACAAGCTCTGTAACTGACTCAGAAGGATGGGAGCATCAGTGGCAGTAGGAGGGAAGGTGGGGTGGGAAGTGTCATGTTCCTAAATCTGTACATGAAATACATGAAATTTTTATACCTTAAGTAAAATTTTTTAAAAAAATCACAAACTATGATTCCATTTCTATGAAATGTAGAGGTGACACAGATTAGTGGATGCCTGGGACTGTGGTAGTGGAGATTTCTGGGTGATGAACATATCCTAAAATTAGACTTAACAGTGTTGATTACACAACTGTCAATATATTTAAATCCATTGAAGCATCCATTTTAAATGCTTAGTATGTGACTTAATGTCAATAAAGCTGTTTTATCATTCGATGGACCAGAGCTATATAGACCTTAGGAGATATTCTGGAACTTTCTTGAAGAATCCACAGTGATGCATATTCTTCAGTTATATTATGGCTTGATAGAGGCCTCTCCAAGAGGGTCACCACTAGTTCAGATCTTGGTTAGGGATGAGAAAGAAGCTTAATGAACACACTGAAACACTTACCAAAAAGAAGAGGAGACTTTAGACAACTTCCAGATAAAACTTCTGTGGCTAATCTTAGAATCTAGGTGAAAGGGGTTAAAAAAAAATCATTAAGGAAGATCCTTGGCACATTAGTACATTAGGGTCTACCCCAGAGGCAGAAAAAAAAATTTGAGGCACACATCAGAGGCACACAACCAAAGCTGATTTCCAGACACTTTTTCAAGACCAAACTCACACGATTAATTTAGTGAAAGTGAAAACTTGTAGAATTTTCTAGAATTGACAGTTCTGTAAACTGAAGTTTGTGTGTGTGACATGCATACAAAAATACAGGCTAATAAAATTTTGAGAGTAAAAATGTCACTCTTATGTATGAAGTGTGTAAGTCAGTGTGTTGTTTGTAGTTGTGTACATGGAGGACCTAAAGAACATTTCTGATGTACATGATGAGATTGTCTGAAAAAGAACCTAATAAACCTAGGGGTTATTCTGTTTTGATTTTTAAAATAGGTCAAACACTGAGAATTGAATTCTTACTTTCCAGAGGCTAATATTAATGTAATGTATGTGCATTTACTTTTATTTGGAAAAAAGTTTACTGTGTTTACTTATATCCTTTGATTATTCCATCTGAATGATAGGCCAAGTCTTGTTTAGCCTGAGAGGTTTATTCAGCAGTTTCTTCTCAGGTACGCAACCGTAGCCATTAAGAAACACATTTTATTCATAATAAAGTGTTCTTTATCAGTATGCTAGATTAGACAAATTTTCTGGGTGTTGCCTATAAGCTGTATTCTGATCTGAATGTTAAGTTTTTGCTTAGCTTATTTTCAGATGTTTGAACTACAATAAAAGGGTTTAAGTACAAAAACTTTGTAGCATTAAGTGGCTAAGGCTATTATATAATGATTAAAAAAAAGAATTATTGAGTTATTTGAAAGGCACAGTTCGGGGGGAGGAGACAGAGCATTTCCATCTACTGATTCACTCCCCAAATGGCCACAATGGCTTGGACTGGGTCAGACTGAAGCCAGGAACCTGGAACTCCACCAAGTTTCCCATGTAGGTGGTGGGGGCCCAAGACTTGGGCCATCCTCTGCTGCTTTCCTAAGTTCATTAGCAGGGAGCTGGGTAGGAAGTGGAGCAGCCAGGACCGGAACTAGTGCTTATGGGATGTCAGCGTTGCAGGCAGTAGCTTAACTCCCTGTATTGCAGCTCTGGCCCCCATATAGCAATTTATATACAATGATTTGATTGTTCCTGTATCATTCTCCCATTTTAAAAATGTGATTGCTGTGGATATGCCTGCATAGAAACAGCTGACTTGCTAACTTAACTCTCTGCTATTTGTATTAGAATCACACCGGCACTGTTAGGAGGCAGAGACCCATACCTCCCTAAATTATCTGTCTTTATGAATATGTAAGGAAAATGCTCTTTAAAACATAGGGAAATATCCCACATCTACTTTGAAAAAGTCAAATTAAGTAGAATAAGGCCCTAAGAGGATCAAAAAGGCTCACTTTGCCAAAATAGAAACGACATAGGCTGTTTCCTTGCTTGAGAAAACGAACTATTAAACAGCATTTAAGGGGGCTGGTGTTGTGGTATAGCAGGCATCCCATGTGGGCGCCAGTTCGAGACCCGGCTGCTCCACTTCCAATCCAGCTTCCTAATGTGGCTGGGGAAGCAGCAGATGATGGCCCAAGTCCTTGGGCCTCTGCACCCACGTGGGAGACCCCAAAGAAGCTCCTGGCACCTGGCACCTGGCACCTGGCTACACATCTGCTCAGCTCCAGCTGTTGTGGCCATTTGGTAAATGAACCAGTGGATAAAGGATCTCTTGATATCGCTTTCTCTCCCTCCCCGCACCCCACCATGTAACTTTGCCTTTCAAATAAATAACTCATTTGAAAAAATAGCATTTCAGTTAATAACCATTAAGTTAAATTATTAAGTCATTCAATAGTCGTGATTGATGCCAGCACCAACAGGCATCTGGGAAAAAAAAGTCATGATTGATTTTGTTTACTGAAAAGTGTATCACTGTATTTTTTAAAAAAGATTTTATTTATTTATTTGAGAGGTAGAGTTACAGACAGTGAGAGGGTGAAACAGAGAGAGACCTTCCATCCGCTGGTTCACTCCTCAAATGGCCACAACAGCCGGAGCTGAGCAGATCTGAAGCCAGGAGCTTCTTTGGGGTCTCCCACGTGGGTGCAGGGGCCCAAGGACTTGGGCCATCTTCTACTGCTTTCCCAGGCCATAGCAGAGAGTTGGACCGGAAATGGAGCATCAAAGACTAGAGCCTGTGCCCATATGGGATGCTGGTGCTGCAGGCAGATGGTTAATCACCCCATCCACTCTTACTTTAGAACAACTTACTATACTGTGTCTTTTGTAACTCACAGGTTTAAGTTGAAATATTCACATTAAATTGGCAATAAAGTGAAATAATCACTCCTTAAGTTACAAATAAAAATATTTGTTTTACTATTCATAAAATGCATTTTAAAAGGTTATTTCTTTAAAAATAATTTTGTCTTTTAAGTCTTACTTGATTTATTTTTATAATCCACATTTCACAAGAAGTGGGTTTAATTTGCAGGAACAATTTATTACTCAAAAGTGTAACGTAGAGCTTACATATTGCTTAACCGTGACAAATGATGTTTTCCCCTTTGTTCAGTATTTTCCAAATGGTCAACTGTTTAAACATTTATTTGAGCTTACACAGAGAAATCTTGCCATATAATAACAGCTTTGTTTTGTTTTGATGTGATGCACCTGATCTTGACTTTAAAGCAGATGTATTTACTCTAAATTACACTTTTATAGACACAAAGTAAAGTGTGGTTGAGTTAAGGCACTCTCAGGAAACAAACTCAGTTAACCATGGCAAATGAAAGTTCAAGCTAAACAAAGTGTTCATACTTTCATTTTTTTTAAAATAAGGAGTTTAATAAGGATCCATAGTATTGAGGACAATGTCTAATTCTTGGAAGAGACACAAATTCAAGGTAATAAAAATATTAAATAGAAGACAACATGCCTTTCAAATATATCAACATTTGACTCAAAAAATAAGGTATAAACATGAAAATATCACTTCCTTTATCTTGGCTCCCAAAGTCAAAAGATTAGAACTAATGCATTTAATCTATCACAGATATTTAGTATACTCAATGTGAAATTATAATATTGTACACTTTTTGTGTTTTACACCATTTCCCCCCAAGTTATTGAAAGTTTCAGCCTCATTTTGAAACACAGCCCACGTGACAGGCTACACATCGTTACATTTTTTGGGAGAAGTACAGTTGAGGCATTTCCTAATTTTAGCAGACAGCACAAGGGAGAAACATGGAAAAGTCCACACCAGACCTGCAGTTTACTTTTCAATAATGCAACGGAACAAAAACAGACCAAACACAGTAGTTGAAAATACAGCGCTGTTGGCACTGGTCTTAATTCGGAGGTTGTCATCCCTGGAGTTGGGAGGCTGACTGACCTTATTCCGTCTCCTTGCCTCTGCTGGTTTTCTACGGAGGAGAACCAAGAGAAGATTCCAGTAGTCTGCCAGCCTGGGTCCACGTGACCTTTCTCATTCCTCCCCAGGATCTTTCCGAACTGTGACTCTTTGACCAGAACATCCATTTCTCAGTAAGACACTTGCTTCTGAAGTCACAATACTCCCAGCTAAGCACTGGGTGGTCTAGACTTGGTAGCTACAATCTGTTTTCAGCATGTGGCAACAAGGGTACTCCAGGTAACAGGAAGTACTGTTATAAGTGAAAATAACTCTTGCTTGCAGCACACCTTCCTCACCCTCTCAGGACTTGAGTATTAGGCAGTTCCCAATAAACTGACGTTAGTGATGTCCAAACTGAAGGCAACGTCTCGATCTACAGTTCTGTGGTTGTGCATCAGGAACAAACAGGGAAATGCAAAGAGTGAAGTGCCTCCTTATGGGTAATCCAGTGACTGGGGTGAGGGCGGGCTCCCTCATGGCAGCTGAGGAACCAGACAGGCTTACAAACATATGAAAGTGAACTTGAGGTAACATCAAACTCATTCCGTCTTCAGATTTGACAACAGTCTGTCAACTACATTGCTTTTGGAAAGCAATGTCTGTAACCAAAACTGAGTGTGACAAAGCGAGTGAAAGCACACTGAGTTTTTGTCTTTTGTTTTAGTGTTCCCAAGAAGTCAATTTGTGGGCAACAGATGTTAGGTTCCTGTGATTTGAATCAGAATTGAAGTTTGTGTGCCTACATGGAACTTTGAAGGGAGGAATAAAATCCCCACACTTATAGGGGCAGGAAACTAAGATAATTAAACCAGTATTTTGACATAGGCAGGCTACTTTTGTAACTTTGTTTCTTTGTTCTTACCTCATATTGGGGCAAAGTAAAATTTTCAGTGTTCCATGAAGCTGGGAAACAGTGGGGTCTCAATCAAAACACTGAATTCTTTACCTTGATATAGTCACCGCAAGGCAGTGGAAAGCTTTTGAGGTTGTTCAGTGGTAATTCAGAATGAAACACTTTGAGGAAATAGCCTTCTTGCTTTATAAAATATAGATTCATAATCTCAAAATCAGAAAGTTCCTTTAAGATAGCAGCTTGATTATGGGTAGGTTATGGAAGTTTCAGGTCATGGCTACGCGAATGCTTTTTCTGTTCATGTGTTTTAAAATCACTATGCTTAAGGATTTTTTGGCTGAAAAATACAGAAACTGTGATCAGATGATCTGAACTGTTCTCATGTGAGCTCATTATTAACATTTTCAGTGCTTATCCCATCACTCATTTTTTTTTTTCAAAAAAAATTTATCTTAAGGTATACTGGATCTTGTGACATTGTGAAAATCTTTTTTCCCTCAAAATATGTTTGATAAATTTTTACCTGGCTAAAATGTCAAAAGTCTAAACATTATGGATTTGAGAACGAGAGATTAGCTTAGCACATCTCAGAGTTACAGCTCCCTCCCAGAACAACACTCTCATCTAGGCACAGCAGGTATGTTTAAATTTACGTGAACGACAACTTCAGTTCGCAGAGGACTAGTGTTTTTCTTGCTTTTCCCTTGCATCATTTCATATATCCGGAAGTTTGGGGTGTAGGCTTGGACATCATCCAGCTTCTTAGCGAGGCTTAATCTGAGCGTCTGGACTTCGGGTGAACCTGAAATGAGGTTTCAGGCTAGTAATGAAACCTGACACTAAGCAAGCTTCCCCGGGTTTCAGCTGAGCTGTCGAAGTCTTCATAACTTCAAGGCATGGGAAGTATGTTGTCTGGCACATCTGAGACACCAGTGGCTTTTTGATAGGCAAGTCTGCTGCATGTACAGTCATTGACTCCTTAAGCACAGCGACTCTGCAGTTGCAAAACTGGAACTCCCTCCACTTTCCGGGCCCTAATTTTCCTTCTGTACCTTAGTCCTGAGTTTGGAAAGTTCTTCCTCCAGGCTTTTGATGTGTTCCTTCAGTGTGGCCTTGTCTTGCTGGGCTTTCTGATTGGCCTGGCTCCGTGCTTCCTCTATCTTCCTTTCATACCACTTCTCCATCTGGGTAGAAACGGCCTCAAAAAAGTACTGGGTGAGCTCCAGAGCCTGGGAGGTGTCTCGGGTGTGAGGGGTGGGCTGCTCGCCACCTGCTGCTGGCTGCTGGGCCCGATGCCTCGCCTGCCCGCTTTTTCCAGACTTCTTGGTTTGGGTGCCTCTATTGACACAGGGCCCGGCCTGCTGGTCACCTTTGGCTGCTTCATTCAAGGGCAGCAAGGCTGCCTGAACTTTGACGTTCCTCAGGCGGGCGCCTGCACAGTCAGAGGAAGACAGCTCCTGCTGCAGTCTGTGGGTGGCATTGGAGTGCAGGGCCTTTTCCTTGGGCCTAACTACCTGAGAGGAAGTGTCAGAAGCTGCTACTGGACCCGCTGTCACCACTGATGGCTCCACACCTGGTGGCAGAAGGAAAACAGATGGTCAAGCTGAGGCCCATTCACGCTGGTCTCTGGCTGGGGGCAGCGTGTGCTCGAGAGTCCTGGGAATCCTGGAAACTCCCTGGCCTTCTAGGTCACCATCCACCAGGTGCACCTTTTCTGGAGCTTTTCTCAGCTTTTGTGAACCCCTCTCTCCCCCGATCATCATCCTGAATGGTCAGGGCTTTCATGGATGTAAGCCAAAAAATGAGCCGGTCTTTCCCCCAGTCTGTCTCATTCTACCCTGGAAGGCCCCGGCTCCCATTTCCTGATGCCCAAGGATGACACAACTTCACCGAGCGACTCAGAGCAGAGCCAGGCATTTATCTATGAGAACGAATGTCCCCATTCCCTGATTTCTGGGCCATAAAGCCAGGATACTCATTCCTCGGCCCAAATGCCAGTCTGGAAAGGTGGTTCCATTCCCCATACCCAGAGCTCCATGAAAAGCCCCACACCTAACTCCTAGAATGCAGAAGTTGCCCACGATGTTTCCTAGGGTTTTTGGGCAAAAAGAAAATAAAACCACAGTTCCAGAGATGGTTTGTGGGTAACACAAACCACTTGGAGGTCTAGTTACCAAATGTAATCACTGTGGCTAATGTAAAGCTGCTTTGCTGGATACATCTCGTCTACTACAAGGGGCAAGCTCAGTACATGAATCCTGCTGAATGAGGCTCTGCATGGCTGGGCGAAGGTAAAAGGCCACTGAAGGAGGAGAAAGGGAATAAAGGCACCAACGGCGGCGAGTGAACCATGCCGAGGAGTCAGACAGCCATCCATCACCCTCCTCTCTGGAGCCCACTTGGGCACTGTCAACACCATACCCGAGGCACTGTTACCACTGGGATCCCTCATTTGAGTATGTTGGAGCAGTTAACGGCAGAGTGGTTCATTCCTGTATAGGAACTGGATATACAATTCGTGAGTGAAACATGGCCCTTGCTACTACAGAGCTCACTCCACACTCCAGTGTCTTCCCAAGCCCTGTCAAACACACTGCTTCAGATGCAGGAGAGAACAGGATCTGTGGGCTGTGTTACCTCTGGACAGAAGGGCACTCTCTGCATGTGGGTTACCTGTGGAGGACTCGCAAGTCGATGGTGTGGACTTAGCCCTGCAGGCTCTGGAATCTCCAGAAAGCTTCAGCTCCAGATTCTGAATCTTTACCATGCACCAGGTTTTCAATTCATCCACTAAGGAGATCTGAAAAATATTTAGTACACAAAACAGTCAGGTGATTGTGACACACTGTTTACAGATTAACCCATCAAGAATGGATTTTTCAATTATGATGGTTAAGGATATCATTTCAACAAACCCAAAAGTGGCAGCTTATCCCTCCTTCCGCAGGCTACACCTAGCACCCGGGCTGAGAGCCATCTGCCATCTTCGCCAAGTGACTTAGAGCCACCTCAAACCCAAAGACCCAAAGCTACTCTGATCTTCCAAACCAAGCTGTGTCGTAAAAGCATGAGCTCTCACACACTCAGGAGTACTTGTTCCATGCCTGCTGTCCCTGTAAACTCTCTGAAGGCAGGAAATGCATCCTCCTCCTCCATGTAATGACCCCCAATGAATGCACAGAGGTTCTCTTCTGTGAACTTCCTTTCAGGTTTACAACAATGGTATGCTAGATCTTTGTAAAATTAAGAGTGGGAATGGGAGAGGGAGGAGGAAGAAGAGTTGGAGCATGGGCGGGAGGGAGGGTAGGGTGGAAAGAATCACTATGTTCCCAAATCTATATATATGAAATATATGAAACTTGTCTAACTTACATAACATTTTACAAAAAGGAAAATATAGGGAAATGGAAATGGAAATGCTATCAGTTGATGCTATATACAGGGGTTGAAATATTGTATGATGCTGCTCCTCTGCGAGCCTGTGGAGCGCGCGACATAATGGTGCCGTGACTCGGATATGAAACCTAGGAGGGAAGAAGCGGGAAAATACCGGAGAGAGACTAGGGAGAGCCTAGGGAAAAGCTGGACGGAAAAAGTACTGGGAGCAGCTAGCGAAAGCCTAGGGAAAAACTCGGATACGGACTGCGGGGAGAAGCTAGCAGAAATCTAAGATTGAAAGCGAAGTGAAAGCTAGAAAAAACTTAGACTCACATATGGACTGCGGGGAGAAGCTAAGAGAAATGAGAGAGAAATACTGTTGGAAGAAAGCTTAGAGAGAGGTAAAGAGAGAATAGAGAGAAAAATACTGCTGGAAGAAAGCTAGGAAAAGTACTGGGGAGAGAAAAATATAAGCTAGGGGAAAGTGAAGCCACGGGGGTAGGCCAAAGTGGAGACGTAAGCTAGGTTGGGATTCGTCAGATTAGCCTGGGGAGCAAAAGATGGAAAGCCAGGCTGAAGCGGAGACATAAGCTAGGTTGGGATTCGTCAGATTAGCCCGGAGAGCAAAGATGGAAAGCCAAGCCGTAGCGGAAACGTAAGCTAGGCCGTGATTCGCTGAAGCCGTGGGGCGTGAGAAGCCGCCGAGCGCAGAGAGCGTGGGGCAGGCGCGAGAAAGCAGCGGGGCGCAGAAGCCGCGTGGAGCTAGGAAGCTGCACAGATAAGAGAAATAAGAATGCCCGGAGTTAGAAGTAAAATGAGAGAAATAGGAATGCCCAGAGATAGAAGTAAAATAAGAGAGAAATAGGAATGTCCGGAGATAGAAATAAAATAGAGAAAAATAAAAAAGGCCTCCCTACAACATGGCGATGAGAGGGCTCGGATTCGGACTGCCTAGGGCGATAAGCACCTGCAGGCAACTCTAGTAGAGCAGAGTATGCGCCATGGGTCACCGAAGACAGGCACGTATCAACGCCAATAAAAGCCTCCCCACAACATGGCAATGAAAGGACCCGGATTCGGTCTGCCTGATTAGTAAGGCTATAAGCACCTGCAGGCAGCTCGAGCAGAGCAGAGCAGAGCAGAGTATGTGCTGCAGGGCACCAAACACAGGCACCCATCAGCGCCTAAAAGTCCCCCCACAACATGGCGATGAGAGGACCCGGATTTGGTTTGCCTGATTGGTAGGGCGATAAGCACCTGTGGGCAACTCTAGCTGAGCAGAGTATGTGCCGCGGAGCACTGAAGACAGGCGTATATCAACGCCTTAAAGAATAAAAAGAAAGGGGGATCTGTGGGGAGTAGGGCCCGTCTCCCACAACATGGCGAGGCACCCGGGAGACAAATAAGTACTGAGACTATGGACAAATAAGTACTGAAACTACCGAGACTGGACTAGACCACTGAGATTATTAAGACAAACTCTATGCATCTGATCTCCCACCATATGGTGCTTAGAGGGAGTAAACAACTTCCACACAGCTGCCTCACCAATTCAACTAACAAGCTGCAGGAGCTGATCCTGCCCCTGATTGGAGGAGAGCAGCGTGCTCAGCGCGTGGGGAGAGAATGCCAGCAGAGTTAGGATTGGTGGAAGAGGACTATAGAGGAGAGAGACAACATGCAGGAGGAACATCTGAGGAACCCCTGAGAGAGCCGGCTGGCAGTGTGCCACTCCTCTGCGGAAGCGGGGGAAGTGGCGGGGGTGCCGCCCCTCCGCAGAGGCGGGGGGGGGGAGGGGGCGGCAGCAAACCCGAGAAGGGCCGGGGAAAGAGAACAGCGCAGGGTCCGGTGTCGTTCCTCCGCGAGAGGGGGAGCGACAGTATGATACCTGTAACACTGTATAAGCAATGCATGTCAATAAAAAATTTAAAAAAGCAAGCAAGCATAGGCTTTCACCCAAAAATGAACATAATGTTACTAAAGGGTGAAAGATAATGGTACGCAATGGAATGCACTCAGCCCCTGCATCCTCAGACTCAGTCCTAGGTGAGGGGCTGGCAGCTCCTGGCTCTTACCTGTCGCTTCTCTCCCTCGTGCTTCTCTGTGTCCGCGTGCTGCTGCAGGCGGTTCAGGCACTCCGTTCTCTCTGCCGAGAGTCGCTCAAGCATGAGCTTGTCCAAAACGCGCATCTGGGATTCAAGGGGAACACAGTGCATGCTGACCTGACCTAAGGATGGGCCCTGCTTCTGGACTCCTGAGGCTGGGCTCAGGGGTACCAGGCAGGGCCCGAGCAGGCAAACACCTGCTCTTCTTGCTGTTCTGTTTCTAGGTGGCTGTAACAGAACTCCAGTTTTTCAGAATTCCTGAGCATGTTTCCATATGGCCCATTTCTTTTTCACTTTGTTAAGGCCCTGTTGAGTTAAAAAGACTGCAAATACACAGAAAATATACAACTTGAGAACACGCAGACCTTGTAGGCAAAAAAGAATTGTTATAGACTTTGGAACATTATCTCCAAGGGGAAAAAAACCATTTCTAAATGTATGGAGTCACTCCCTCCACCTCCCCTTCTCATGGCAATGTTAACAGCTGCCCAAGAGGCAGTGAAGCAAGCTGAATCCGCAGGGCTGTTCTCCAGCCTTGGCAAGGAGCAGCTATTTTTAGTGCTTCCCCAGAAGTAGTCAAAGCATGTGTGAGAAGGGTGTGGGAGGGGCGGAAAGGATTGCTTCAAAGAACAAGGGACCATCATCTCTCAGTCACACTCTTCCATGGTCCCCCTCCATCCTAACATTCCCTGCCGGGCCCTAATGCCTAGCAGGGCCACACTTGCTCTGCTTCCTTCAAGGTCCCAAGGAGAGAAGGGGACTTTGATCACTGGGTGAGCTCCTCAGAGATGCACTTAGCATTCCGAGCTCCACACTGGAGATGGGCGAGCACTGTCTGTCTGCTCTCTCCAGTCCCCACGTGGGTCAGGGTACAGCTCTGCCGCTTTCCTGGCTTGGCCCACTCCCGCTCCTGCTCACCCTCTTCCTATGGAGTGGTCCTCCCCAGGAATGGCCACATGTGTGCGTAGCTTTGTTCTCAGGCCCAGGTAGACTAGCTCAGGTGTGAATGGATACCCAACTCATCCTGGGCCAGAGTCCTTTCCCTGTGATTTGGGAATCTGTCACCTTCCTTGACCTGAAGAGAGATCCCTGACACAGCCCATATCCATTGATACATTCCTCTCTGGGCTCAGGCTAGCGGAAGTAGCTTTTTTTTTTTATACAAACAAAAACCAAAAAACCAGTCTTAACTAAAATATTATGGTCCTAAAATATATTTTTAAGTGGTCTTTCCATAAAATGAAAATATCAAATAAACCTTAAAATATTTTTTAAAATTTATTTGAAGATTTATTTATTTATTTGAAAGGCAGAGTTACAAAGAGAGATGGAGAGACAGAGAGAAAGACATAGAGAGATTTTCCATTCTCTGATTCATTCCTCAAATGGCCACAACAGCCAGGGCAGGGCCAGGACAAAGCCAGGAGGCCAGATGCTTCATCTGGTCCTCCCATGTGTGTGACAGGGGTCCAAGCACTTGGGCCATCTGCTGCTTTCCCAGGCATATTAGCAGGGAGCTGGTTCACAAGTGGAGCAGCCATGAACCAGCACCCATACGGGATGCTGTGTCCCAGCTGGTGGCTTAACCTGCTAAGCCACAACACCAGCCCCAAACTTTAAAATCTGTAGCCTCACTGGTAAACATGAAATTTAAAACAGCAAAATTTCTTAATTTAGCAAAAACTTTAAAAAAAAATAACAGTAAGTAATGGCAAAGGTCTGAGACAAACTCAGATACTGTTGGTGGGATGTTAATTGATTCAGCCTTTATATTAATTTGTCAATATCTACTAAGAGCCTTAAGCATAATAACTTTGAACCCAGTTATCTTAATTCGAGCAAATAATCTGAGAAGTCAAAAGTTTATGCATATAAATATTTATCACAGGGGGCTGGTGCAGTAGGTTAATCCTCTGCCTGTGGCACTGGCATCGCATATGGGCACCAGTCCTGGTCCTGGCTGCTCCTCTTCTAGTCCAGCTCTCTGCTATGACCTGGGAAAGCAGTAGAGATGGCCCAAGTGTTTGGGACCCTGCACCCACATGGGAGACTGGGAAGAAGCACCTGGCTCCTTGCTTCGCATCAGTGCAGCTCTGGCCGTTGCGGCCATTTGGTGGGGGTGAAACAACAGAAGGAAGACCTCTCTCTCTGTCTCTCCCTCTCACTGTCTATAGCTCTACCTCTCAAATAAATAAATTTTTTTTAAAAAATGTTTATCACAGAATTATTTATGAGTGAAAAACTATAAGCAACATTAAAGTCTAAGCAAGAAGTGGCTAAACAAATCACATTACATTAGTATTCTGGAATGGGGCAGGCATTGTGGCACAGCAGGTTAAGCTACCACTCGGAATGCCCACTTCCCATGTCAGAGTGCTGGTTTAAGTCCTGCTCACTCTGTTTCTGATCTAGCTTCCTGCAAATGCTTCATGGGAGGTAGATGATGGTTCAAGTACTTGGTCCCCTGCCACCCATGTGGGAGTCATGGATGGAGTTCCAGGCTCCTGGCTTTGGTCTGGCCCAGCCCTGGTTGTTGCAGCCATTTGGAAAGTGAACCAATGGATTTCTCTCTCTCACTCACTCTGCCTTTAGAGCAAAATAAACACATCACTAAACAGCATTCTTGCTAGGCACAGTTTCAAACTTTAGCATACATGAGCACCCCCTGGAGGTCTTATTAACACAGGTTGATCATTAGCACCAGCACCATGGACTAGTGGGCTAAGCCTCCACCTGCAGTGCTGGCATCCCATATGGGCACCAGTTCATGTCCCAGTTGTTCCTCTTCTGATCAGCTCTCTGCTATGGCCTGAGAAAGCAGTGGAGGATGGCCCAAAGGCTTGGGCCCCTGCAACAGTGTGGGGGACCTGGAAGAAGCTCCTGGCTCCTGGCTTCGGATCAGCTCAGCTCTGGCTGTTGCAGCCATCTGGAGAGTAAACCAGCAGATGGAAGACTTTTCTCTCTTTCTCTCCCTCTCTCTGTAATTCTACCTCTCAATTAAATAAAATCTTAAAAAAATAAATCTTGCTTAAAAAAAAGAAAAAATAGGTTGATGACCACTACTCCCTGAATTTATTATTAAACACTTAAATCCAACCCAGTGGATTCAGAGTGAGGCCTGGAATTTGCTTCTCCTTTCTTCCCCACAAATCCCCAGGTGATGCTAATGCTGCTGGCCCAGGGAACTCGGCTCAGAGACCCAGTGCTATAGACCTTCCTTTCAGTTCCCCAAATATGGAGCTAGAGGAATTAAACAACACCAGGAAGAAACTCTCGGGCAAACCCAGATACAGGATATCCTACAAAACAGCTAGCTAGCGTGGATGCTCTCAAAAGTTAGCATCACAGGAAAGATAAAGGTAGAAAGAGAGTCAGGGATGATAGGAGTCTGGATGATGAGAGACCACAGACTAACAGTCAAACATCCCACAGGGAGCCTTCCCTGGGTCCTGCACAGAGACTCAAAACGCAAACCAGCTGTAAACAAAACAGCCGGGGACAACCACGAGAATCTGAGTGGGAACTGGAGACCGGGCACTCGCTGTTCAGTTTCTCAGGCGGTGCAACAGGAGGACGTCCTGATTGCCAGCCGGCGCACTCTGAGGTGCGTGCAGGAGCCATCAGGAGGGTGTGCAGGCAGATCAGCATGGGAGGGCGCGAGACAGAACAGACAGCCATCCAGTGACAGCCGCTGGACCCAGGCCAGCAGACCGCAGGTGCGTTCACCACGCTACTCCTCAGTCTCTGCTGTATGTCTGACAGTTTCCCAAATAACAAGTTGGGAAAAGGAAACAAGTTAGACACGATTACTCTAATTTCTTGTGCAAGGGAGAAGGGGTGCAGAGCACATAAACATATAAAAGACAGGGAGTAAATACTCGCAAATAGTACTTTTTCATAGTAATCGACTTACAGGGGATTTATTTATCTAATTCTCATATTGCTTAAAATGCATTGTAGTGGAGATAGATTACTTGCATAGTCAGCAGCAGTCTAAAGGTGTCCCTAAAAATTCTAAACAAATGTGATGTGACTAAACTGCACAAGCAGGCCTCTTGCCTGACAGCCTGCCGGCAGCTTTTAGGGCAGGGGGTAAACTCCGTTCTCTTCTGACGTCACCTTCTGTGAGCTGGGCCGCTGGCTTACCTGGTGCTGGGTCTTGCTCTCCATGTGCCCCAGCTTCGTGTTCATTTTATCCTGCACCGATCCCAGCTCTGCCTTGATCTCCTCCACGGTGGCTTCCAGCTGATTCTCCAGCTTGTTGATCAGAGGTTCACACCGACAACCATTGAGTGGTGCCTGCGAGAGAAACAAGGGAATGAACTCCTTGTTCATTCTTTTTAATGATTAACTTATTTGAAAGGTAGAGTTATAGACAGTGAAAGAAGGGGGGAAGAGGGGGAGAGGGGGAGAGGGGGAGAGGGGGAGAGAGAGAGGGAGAGAGGGAGAGAGGGAGAGAGAGGGAGAGAGAGGGAGAGAGAGGGAGAGAGAGGGAGAGAGAGGGAGAGAGAGGGAGAGAGAATGAATAAATATCTTCCATCCACTGGTTTACTTCCCAAGTAGCCACAACAGCCGAGGCCAGGAATCAGGAGCCAGGAGCCTCCTCCGGGTCTCCCATGTGGGTAGCAGGGGCCCAAGCTCTTGGGCTATTTTCCGCGGCTATCCCAGGAGCATTAGCAGGGAGCTGGATTGGTAGTGGAGCAGCTGGGACACAAACCAGCACCCACCTGGGATGCTGGCACTGCAGGTGGTGGCTTTACCCGCTACGCCACAAGGCCAGCCTCCTTTGTTCATTCTTCCAACAGATATTTTTGTTAGAGAGGCAGAGACAGAGCTCCTGTCAGTTGGTTTACTCACTCCCCAGATGCCTGCAATGGATGGGACTGGGCCAGTTCCCGCAGTCAGGAACCCAATCCAAGTCTCCCAGAGGGAGGCAGGGACACTACTTGAGCTGTCACTGCTGCCTCCCATGGCCTGCAGCACTAGCAGCAGTTGTCCCAGCGGCTGCTCAGGCCGCTTTGAGCACCCACTACGTGATAAGGAGTTACAGACGATGCAGGAGACAGACTCAGCCCTGGGGTAACTTTCAAACACCCCACAGGCCAAGCTTTGCGTCTGGTAGGTGATGGGGCTCAGAGAGAGTAAGATAGCTTCCTCTTCTGCAGCTGCTTTTATCTTCTCTGGAGCCTCAAGCTCTCTGGCCACCTACGGATGGTGCAGAGCGCGGTGTGGGGACTCCACAGCTGGCCTGGGAGCTGCAGTGCACCTGCCCTAGGTGGGGCCGCCCTGTGGCTGACCTTCAAAGCTCCTATGTCCTGAGTCAATGCCCAAAGGGGATCTCGGCCCATGGGAATAGTGCACCCCCCCCCCCTTCCTGAGCAGGCCCTGCGGGTACCTGCATCACTTTCCCATCCTTGCCCCGGTACAGCGTGTACAGCTGGTATGCTCTGAACTCATGGGGTGGGGGCGGGGAGGAACAGCGGTGCCGGCTCCTCTTCTTAGCGTGATTATGAGCGTGTGAGCTCTTCTGGTGTCCGGGCTGCTGGTCTGCCGGCGGGGTGGGGTCAGAGTACGCGGACACCTGTCAGGAAGGCAGAGATGACACCTCTGAGCCCTGTGGCACCTGCAAGAGTGACCCAGCCAGCGGCTCCCACCTCACTCACTCTGGGGCCGAGGACCCCGCGTTGCTTCTCTTCCTGGTGTCCTACACGGAGCAACACTCGTCCCAAGAAGTACATCGCAGGCCCACCCGTGTCCGAGGTCAGCCAGGCTTACCTTCTGTGCTCTGGCTCCAGCCTTTTCAGCTGCTGGGCAGGACCACACTCGAGGGCCCACTGCCAACCCCGGCCACCCCCTTGGCCGCTTCATGGGCCTCCTGACCTTGGGCCTGGACTTTCTCCTCTGGTTGTTGTCCTTGGCCCTGGGTTCCGGGGAGGCAGACAGGAAATCTTCTCTGGGTTCCTCTTGTTTCAGCGCAGCCTGATCGCTGCTGGGGGTGTCTCCGGCAGAGACACTTCCCTACAGGGGGGAAAAACCAGCAACTGTTCCACTCGCCCCTGCACCGTCTTCATGAACAGTAAAATTCTGCTCGCAAGACTCCACCTAGCCAGGGTCCCCGGGGCATCTGTGACAGCCATATGCGTGGTGACCTGAACTCGGCATACACTGCTTTTCCTGGTTGGCTGAGGATGTGACTCACATGTTACTCATCAGGGCCCTAGTCACATACAGTCTGGAGTCTAATTCTACGATCTAGAACCGCAGGAACCTGCCACAGACCAAACACCTCAGCGTTAGAGATCTTCGGTCTTTTGCATTTTACTGCTCACTCTTTGAACTCAGCCAGCCGCATCCATGGTGGACCATCCTCAGAAATGGAAATGCATCCCCGTGTTAGTCCTTGTGAGAACTATTACAGCCCAGTACGGACAATCCACACACAGGAACTGGAACAGACTACGACACCTCAGCCCTGGGAGCTGAGGAGAGGAATTTGAAATGGATGGCAGACAGCGAGCAGGCACTGAGTGATAACATTTGATGTGACAAATGTTATCTCTCACACTGGAGTCGTCTTCCTCCAGAGAGAGCTGAAAGGCATAATTTAGTCCTGAGCCTCCACGTACAGCAAGCTGTTCCGTGTACAAAGGCAACTAGCCAAGGTGTGAGTGGGGCAAGATGAACCAACGTCCAACTTTGATTGATTCCCGACGTGTGCCCCGTGCAGGGCTGATCTGCCCAAGGAGTGACACGTGTTAGCAGAGCCGCGTCCGTTCTATAAGTGGGAAAAAAGGACGCGACGTGTACCAGGGGTTATCAAACTTTGGTGCACGTTGGAACCATCTGGAAGGCTTGTTCAAGTAGATTGCTGGGCCCACCCCAGAGCTTCTGATTCATCGGGCCTGGGGGGGGGGGGCGGGTAAAGGCTCAAGAATTTGCATTTCTAACAAGGTCTAGGTAACATACTGGACACCACCCTTTGAGAACCACCGCTCTAAACAATTAAAGGCAAGGCGCAGCCTCAGAGAGGAAATGCTGGCCATGTGGTGGGGACAAAGGTCACAGACACACAGGCCTGATAATCATATAATCATGGCCCCGCAAAGGGTACTGGATGGCTGACAGGTGTCTCTCTCTCACACACCTCTCACACACACACACACACACACACACACACACACGAGCTGAAATCCTGGAGGACCGGACGACAGGAAGCCAAAGAGGAAAAGACTGGCAACAGTTTGAAGAGCCCCCGGCCCGGCCCGGGTGGGAAGGAGAGGCAGAGGAGCTGGAGGGAACAGGGAGACAGTTTCCCGCCCTGTGGAAGTGAGTGGAGGCGGGGCTGGCAGGAGGGTCGCCACCCCCACCTTGCTTTGTGCCACCTCATCTCTTGGCACAGACTGGGCTCTCCTCTCTTCCTTGAGCCTTTCTCTCTTTTTCCGCAGGCTTCGCCCACGACTGAAGCGCAAGACCTGAAGGAGGCAAACAGCACTGTTATAAACCTCTGGGGTGTGCAGCAGCAGCGTCAAAGAATTCTCCGTGGACTCGGTGCTCCGACCTAGCTGAACTTACAGCCCTGGTGAGAGGCACCAAGCCCTCAACACCAAACGACACCCATGGACCACCTACGGGTCTCCCAGGGACCCAGAGGTGGGCAGGATACTGTCCCTGACTTTCAGAAGCTCAAAGCCCACGGTAGTGATGACAGCATTTCGGGTCCAGGTCAGGAGCTCCGAGCAGGGGTACACGGGCTGAGTACTGTGTAACTCCATCTAACGTAGGGCGTGAATGGTGTCTCCTGGGGTTGCGCAGTGTGGTAGCCCTGTGCCAGGCAGTCTCACTCTCCATCTTGGTACCCTGAACCTGATCTGGCCTATCACATCCTTCCCCCGGAGCCAAACTGTTCAAGTCGTATTCAATTTGATTCAACACTGTTATGGTGCATACGGGAGCCTGGTACCCATGCTGGGGCAGGAAGGAGGCATTTAGTCTACTCCTGGTAGTACAGAGCAGTAGAACGGACACAGACAAGTGCATGTGGGGTCAGCTAGTGGGAGAGTCTGTAGGCAACGGATTTGACCTCTCTGTGCTCTATCTTTTCAAATAAAAATGGGCGGATGTTGGGATTAAGCTAGAAAGAAGTTGGTGGCTGGCACACAGTGGACTCATTCTTGGGCGGGAGCCTTCCTAGCTGCCTGAGAATTGCTTCATGGACCGGGGATGTTTACCCACAGAGTACAGATCTCCAAGCCGCAGGCGAGCCTCAACCTCTGGACCACAAGATTTGAGAATGTAAACGGGTCCTTAGCTGAAAAATTCCGAGAACTGCCTTGCTAAGTCATCTCTAAAGCTGAATTCAGACTTGCTACGAGGTCAAGTCCGATGCGAGGACGTGATTAGCACCTGTCACTCACTGGTTTATGGACTCTCAGAGCAGAGTCACCAGCAACATCCGCTCTGTTTCCCATGGTATTACCCAAGAAAAGAACTTCATGCGGCTCACAGCCTTTCCCAGGGGCCATGCCATCTAACCAAATGGAATGCCATTAACCTCTCCCAGGCCACAGACCAGGGAGTATCGGTCCTGGAGCCTGGCAAAGAAATACCCTCAGTACTGCTGTGGCTTATTAAAATCCACATCCAGCTAACGGGCAAAGGTGAGAAGGTTTTCATTTCAGACAAAACAAATAGGAAGGCTATTTCTATAACTACAGATCAATGGCATAAGACTATATGCATATTTTAACATTCCTTCTTTGTGGTTCGCGTGTACAATTATGTGTGACACAGACCTTCATGACATGTCACTCAACTTATTTGCTATTCGGCTTGGTGTGGAAAGCCTTGCTCAAGTCACTTTTCAAATGGAAACACAAGGGAGGAACAACACACGGAAATGGCCTATGATAAAGCTTTTTTCCCTGTAAACACAGATTCTCAGGTTCTGGAAGACAAATGACAGGCGGATTAAAGCTACATCAATCTTGATGTGCCTGGAGAATTCTCCAGCTCCACAAGACTTGATGATCGCTGTATGGCTGAGGATGGGGCTGGCTGTCCATCAAATTGCCAGATGCTGAAATGCCAGATAAGCGTGACAGATTCTGACATTTAGATAGCACCCTGCACTTTTTGATCGACGAGACAGAGACCAGCATTTTTTTTTCTATCAGCATTCATGGATGAGATCCCACTGATGATTCTTTGTAAAGAACTGGGGAGAGGCAGGGTTCCCCACCCCCACCCCCACCCCCACCCAGCAGCTTGTCCTAGCTGACGTCCTCTTGTCAGGAGCTCCACGGATTTACAGACCACTGAAAAGGACCAGCTCCATACTCAACACGGTGATGGGGTTTGCAAAAGACAAAAATGCTAACCATTTCCGGAAGTTGCCAGTTATACCTGGCATCTTTTTAAAACTCAAATGAAACAAAGACCAAGCAAAACTCTGGGCTGGGCTAGTACCAGGTGGTGGTGCACTGAGGTGGTATTCAGAATCTTCTTTTGACACCCTGAGGCTCTGCCCTCTTCTTGAAATATTAGCCAGTATAAACTGGGAAACCGATCAGTGTTTGCTGTGACATAATACACAATAGCTCCAATCTGGAAAGAGCCGAAGTGTCCAATACTTAGGGACAGCAACAGCAACAAAAATACTACACTTCCATTATAGTGAGCAGTTGTGAGGATTATAGCACACTGCATTGTTATAGTTAGGATAAGAGGCAGAATACAAAAAGGTGTAGAAATTGTAGGAACACATATAAAAATTAGGTGTCTGGAAGGTACAGGAAGAAACAGTAACACGTCAGGGGGTGAAATTATGAATAGCTCAGAGATTATCATTACTATACACTTCTTTCTTTTTACTTCATGTCCATTCCAGCTCAAATGATATCAGCTACCATTTTAAAAAATAGAATGACGGCTCAAACACCACTACTCAGTAAAAGAAAACGAAAATGAAAACGAAAAAGAAAAAAGAAAAAAGAAGAAAAAAGGAAAAAGAAAAAGAAAGAAAGAATTACAGTGTACCTGACTGGTGGGTGCTCACTGCTCTGTGGGCACAGAGAATGGTCCGTCCCCCTTCCCTCCCCTTCCCTTCCGGAATTCGCTGTTCCACTTGTTGGGTCAAGCTGTTTAATCCGGTGCTGTCTTGCAGTGGTTTGAACTGAGCTCTCCCCTGTTGAGGAGCTGGGGAATCACGATCCAGGAAGCTGGTTGTGACAGTGAGCCACAGCAGGGAAGGGACACTCACCACAATGAGCTGCACTCTGGTTCCAGTCACCCTGGAGGCCCACCCTGTCCACTGCCTGGCTCCTAAGCCCCTGAATTCCCTATTTAAGTTACTCTGCATTGGTTTCAGCAGTGGACAACCAGAGGCATCCCAGCGACTTTGCAGCCCCACATCCTCAATACAATGGTAAATGCAGGAAATCCTACCTGGGGAGCCTTAGTGAGGAGAAGAGCAACTTCCGGATTATTGTGGTAGCGGGCAGTCTCCAGCGGAGTCTGGCCTGCCTAAGGAGAGGCACAGGGGAAGACATGTGAGAACAGGACCCCAACCCTGACCATGTGGAGGGGGTAGCTCTACTCGTTCACAGCCCACAGGTGCGTGTGCTCAGCACACACAGCCCTGCACACGACATGCGCTGTTCTTCAGCCCACAGCATCCAGTGGGGGAGCCAAGAGGACATGCTAACCAATGGCACACAGCAACATAGGGCAGGCGCCAACTAAATGCTTTAGGAGGCAAAGGTCTGGAACATTGCCCACCGAGGCAGGCTTCCTGCAAGGACCGGAAGGAAGGGAAAAATCAGATGGGATCAAGTAGGGCATTTCAGTGCAGGGAAAACACAAATGACCACAAAATCCAGCCTGGCAATGAATCTTCCCTGGAGAGCACTTGGAGGAGGGCGGAGCCCATGAAGCCACCCTTGAGGAAGAGAGGGTGTGAGCTAGAACCTGGGGTGGGGGAGGAGTGAGACAGGCAGAGGCCATTTTGGAGAGGAAGGGTTTAGCGTGTTGAGACTGATCGATCCTCTGGCCATGTGGCCACTTTTCTTAAGACTACACGTGTCTACAGTTCTGGAACCACCCACTTGTCCATGTCTTTAGACACCTCCAGGCTTCCTCTCACACTGGGTTTGCTCTCTGCACCCGAGAGTCTGAATGTGAAGTCTTGGGGCTTGTCAACCACGGGGCTGCTCAGAGCCAGGGTTCCCTGCCTCAGGGGTCCCAGGGGCTGCGGCAGGGAGAGCCCGCAGGAGTTCAGGAAGTAACACCCCATCCTGAAAAGGAGTGGGAATGGCTTTAGAAGTCGCCACCGCAGCTCAACGTACGTTGTTAACAATGGTCCCATCTGCTCCAGCTTCCAGTAAGATTTTAACCACCTTCTTGTGATTCAGGGCCGCAGCAATGTGAAGCGCTGTGTCTCCAGCCTGAAATTAATCAGAAGAAAGCTTGCTAAACCCGCTCTGACCACGGCACACAGGCCAACAGGGGCTTCTCATCCCCTGGTCTAAGGGTGGGTCTTCAAAGCCAACCTGAGATGGGCCTTAGACTGCAACGGGCCCTCTTTGAAGTGTTTTGTGGTTCTGTTTAAAGAGCTCTTAGAGCCGAATGGCCTATGTAACAGTATCACATTGTTTTACTGACTGGGGATCCCAGAAGTCACAGAACAGGGTTAAATGCAGGGGACAGGAGCCAGCACTGTCTGCTGCCTGTGATGCCCACATTTCACATGGGCTCTGGTTCAAGTCCTGGCTGCTCCACTTCCAGTCCAGCTTCCTGCTAATGTACCTGGGAAAGCAGTGGAGGAGGGCCAGACGAAGCTCCTGGCTCCTGGTTTTGGTCCTCTCCAGCCCTGGCAGTTGTGGCCATTTGGGGAGTGAACCAGCAGATGGAAGATCTCTTTCTCTCTCTCCCCGCCTCTGTAACTCTGCCTTTCAAATAAATAAGCAAAAAATCTTAATTTAAAAAACATCGGGGCAATGGAATGCTGGGCTGGGGTCACTGAGAATGGTGAGACCTGAAGCCTCATGGGGACAGGATGACAGGCAGGAGGCCTGGAGCAGGCAGGCTCATCAAGCCCGAGCATGGACCTGTTCCTGCACCCAGGGGAGTCAGGGGTCAAGGGAAGGGCTTGCTGTCTGAGCCCCGGACTAAGCGGGAGGAGCAGTGGCGGCTACTACTACTACTTCTTCTCCTGTTTTTTTTTTTTTTTTTTTTTTTTTTAAAGATTTTATTTATTTGAAAGGCAGAGTTACAGAGAGGCAGAGGCAGAGAGAAAGTCTTCCATCCGTTGGTTCACTCCCTAGATGGCTGCAACAGCTAGAGCTGGGCTGATCTGGAGCCAGGATCCAGGAGCTTCTTCCGGGTCTCCCACAGGGGTGCAGGGGCCCAAGGACTTAAGCCATCTTCGTCTGCCTTCCCAGGCCATAGCAGAGAGCTGGATCGGAAGAGGAGCAGCCGTGACTTGAACTGGTGCCCATGTGAGATGCCAGCACTACAGGGAGTGGCTTTACCCGCTACGTCACAGCGCTGCCCCCGATGGCTACTTCTGACAGCTCCTTCTGCAAGCACTGGAGGGGTAACGGCCCAGCCCTGCAGCTGCCCCAGGGGCCTCCGAGGGGGACATTGGCACTGGAGCCATCTGCAGGTCAGATTCAGGGTGTTCTTTGGGTGGAGACACGGAGAATCAGTGTTCACTTATGTACTTATGACTAGCTGTGCTCCGCCTCTTCCTGAATAGCCTGTAAGTACGTTTTTACTTTTCTTCACAAAAAATTACGTTTTCACACAACTGCCAAAGGAGGGTAAGTGCACCTGCAGTTCATTGGGCTGATTCCAAATGCAAACACCGCCATGTTCCAAACAGAATGATATAACAAATGAGCCCAACAAAGAGATGGATCACCTCCCTGTCAGGTGATCAGGCAGCAGACCATGAACAATTTTACTTCTTGGGAAGCATGAAAACCCAGCTGTCACCCTAAAGAATGTGTTTATTTCACTGTGGAGCTGCTTCCTTGTGAGTGTGGGGGAGCAGCCATGTAGCAATGGTTTCCAATGCTGGCTGCACACTGGAATCCACTGGGTGCCTGGGTCCTAGTCCTAGGTGGTCTGATGCCATTGGGTGGCAGTGTGGGCTGGAGCTGGGGGAGTTGAAAGATGCCAGGTGACTGTGACAGGCTGCCAAGGTTGAGCAGCCCTGGGTGGTGGGACCGTGTTGGGGGACTTGATTAAGCAGCCTCTGCATTGACTTGGCGATGTGATGACCTTGGTGGCTTCATACCCAGACAGGGAGCTCTGTAAAAGTACCAGAGCCTGGACCTCACCCCCAGAGCTGAGGGGTGGGATCCAAGAATGGGATGTTTACTTCCCCTGCTGACACTGCTATGCAAGCAGAGTCAGAGACCCAGGGAGTCACAAGCCTCCCAGTTCCTTTGCTTCCATTCTCCCTTATGGCTTTCCTTTCTAAAATACTATAAAAACAAAATTGGTCCCAGGGTCTCCAAAAACTGTTCCAGAGGAACTGCGGTGCTTGGCATGGGGATGGTAAGAGCACACTTTCTCCAGGAGGCCAGAGAGGACCGCTGGAGTCCGGGCAGGTAGGAGGGCAGCAGCTCCCAGCAGCCTCCACTCCCATTTGCAATCACACACAAGGTATGTGCTTGGGAGGTAGCCTTGGGAGAAGGGTGCCAGAAGCCATGAAGAGGACGCATGCACTGACCTGGTTCTTTTCATGGACAGAGCAGAAAGCACTGAGGAGGAGCCGAATGATGGACAAGTGATTGTAGCGCGCCGCAACGTGCAAACAGGTGTCGCCTGCCTGCAGACAGAAGTCAAACTCTAAGCACAGTCTGAGCAGTTCCAAAATCAGACAGACAAAACCAAAAGGAAAATACCATTTAAATGCCGAGGACTACCAGGTGTTCCTTGGGAGCCCTGAGCTGGAAGGCAAGCATCCCCTCTAACACAGATGCCTGCTCCAAGACCCGCAGAACTTGGCTGCTCCTGCAGCCCTGCTTGCTTTCTGCCCCTGCAGAGCCGCCACGTGGGCGATAGGAGCCTCTACCTCCAAGTTTATGCACCTCCCCACAAGTCCTGCGGAAGACCCGCGCCAGGAGATAAGGACCCACAAACACCAGCTCCCCTACGACCCAGAGAGTCTGCTGTAAACTCTATTAAGAGCAACAGGGCGAGCACTGTGGTGCAGTCGGTTAAGCTGACACTTCCGATGCCCGCATTCCAGTGCTGGTTTTGAGTTCTGGCTGCTCCGCTTTCAATCCAGTTTCCTGCTAATGCACCTGGGATACAGTAGATGATGCTGCAAGTACTTAGGCCTGTGCTACCCCTGTGGGGAACCCAGATGGAGTTTCTGGCTCCCAGCTTCAGCCTGGCCCTGTCCCAGCTTTTGCAACCATTTGAGGAGTAAGCCAGCGGATGAAGACCTCTCTGCTACTATGCCTCTCAAATAAATAAATTAATCTTAAAAAAAAAAAAAAAGACCAACAGAATTGGTGTTAAGCCACCACTTGGAACACCTGCATTATCAGAGTGGCTTGGCTGGAGTTCTGTCTCTGCTTCCTATCAGCTCCCTGCTAACATGGCATCCTGACAGGCATCAGATGATGGCTCAAGTGCTTGGGTCCCTGCTGTCTACATGGGAGACCCGGGCGGGGTTCTGGGCTCCTCGCTTTAACCCTGTCCAGGCTGTTGCAGGCATTTGGGGAGTGATTCAGCACATGGAAGAGTGCTCTCCCGCTCTGTCTCATTATCTTTAAAATCAAATGAGAATAAATTTTAAGACATTTTTGAAGAGCAAGCAGCCACTAGGAACACCAAAGGGCATCCAGAAAAGCTCAGGTGTTTCTGAGTGGGCACAGACTGCCCAATTCCTGCTCCCAGAAGACAACAACAGAAGCAGAGCCAGGAAGGCGTGGCTTCCAGCAGCTTCTCTGGACATCTGCATCCCAGCTCTGTCTGGAGATTGATGAACGCTGGGCCTAACTAACTTCCTCCTCAGGACTAAGATGCAGCCAAGCTCAAAGTGAGGCTCAGCACCTCACTCAATAGGCTAATCCTCCACCTGCGGCACCAGCACACAGGTTCTAGTCCCGGTTGGGGCGCCTGATTCTGTCCCAGTTACCCCTCTTCCAGTCCAGCTCTCTGCTGTGGCCCAGGAGTTCAGTGGAGGATGGCCCAAGTGCTTGGGCCCTGCACCCCATGGGAGACCAGGAGAAGCTCCTGGCTCTGGATCAGCGCGGTGCGCCGGTCAAAGCGCGCTGGCTGCAGTGGCCATTGGAGGATGAACCAACAGTAAAGGAAGACCTTTCTCTCTCTCTCTCTCACTGTCCACTCTGCCTGTCAAAAAAAAAAAAAAAAAAAAAAAAAAAAGGAAGGAAGGAAGAAGAAAGAAGAAGAAGAAGAAGAAAAAGAAAAAAAAAAAGAACCCTATTAAATGAATCTGCCACCCAAAGGGGAGACCCCAACCAGGGCCATTTTTGAGAGACACCCCAGATCCTCCCACCAACCTTGCTAAGCTTGGGATTTACAAAAGGAAACGGCTTCTCTGTTGGGGAAGTGGGGGGGATACACACGTGTCCTTTCTGCTCAGGCGTCCTCACTGGGGGACACCTCCAACATCAACAGGATCCACCCCCAGAGGATACTGGGGACCTCCTGTGTGTGCAGCCAACACCTCGTGGATGCTGATATTCCTACATTGCCACTGGCCACACACACGCCGGGACAAACGATAAACCAAACTAAGCTGAAGATCAGAGGGAGGAGGCTGGGAGGAAAGCAGCTATTTCCACGTGGTTCTCCTCCTCCTCATGCCCCTCCGGCACCCCGTAAGGAAATGTGGCAAGACACGAATACTTTAGAGACAGTCCCCAGCGCTTCCCCTGTGTTACTCTCCACGCGGCGATACGCTAGGGCGCTTTGGGGTTGCTGTCCCAGGCGGCGCGCGGGGCACACGCGAGGGCCAGCTCGGTCACCCACGTTGTTCTTGAGGTCGGCGCGGGAGCCGCCCAGCAGGAGGACGCGTGTGCTCTGGCAGTGGCAATTCTGGCAGGCCAGGTGCAGCGCCGTGTTCCCCGCCTGCCGGAGAAGCAGAGAGGGGAGGCCGCGTTAGAGCCGCATGCGCGCGCGGGGGTCCAGACTCGCTCAGGGGCAAAGTCACCTCGCTCAGGGGCTCCTGTTCTCTGTCTCCCGATGACTGCTTCCAGGGGGGTGCTTCAGAGTCCTCTGTCATAAAGCCCTGGTCCCAAGGCCTGGCTCTGCCACTCACCAGCTGAAAGCCACCGCGTGAGGCCCTGCGAACACGCCGCTCGGACCGCTTTCCTGGAGAGCCGGGCTGGACCCGTTCTGTCCCGAGGTGGTGATGATGGACGCGGAGCATCTTGGAAAGCTTTTTTTTTGGAAGCCCTGAAAATGTTGTGCGCATGGGATGCGCTCAACTCCTCTCAGAGACGGCTTCCTGTCCAATATGGACTAGAGCTGTGGCTGTATAAACTCCACCCACAGTAGAGTAAAAAATGCAAAAGCGGGGGCCCGTGCTGTGGTGCAGCGGATTAAAGCCACCGCCTGCAGTGCCGGGATCCCATATGGGCGCCGGTTCTAGTCCCAGCTGTGCCTCTTCCGATCCAGCTCTTGCTATGGCCTGGAAAAGCAGAAGATGGCCCAAGTGCTTGGGCTCCTGCACCCACATGGGAAGACCTGGAGGAAACTCCTGGCTCCTAGCTTTGAATGGGCGCAGTTCCTGCTGTTGTGGCCAATTGGGGAGTGAACCAGCAGACAGAAGACATTTCTCTCTCTCTGCAGCTCAAACTTTCAAAATAAATAAATAAATCTTTTCAAAAAATACAAATAGGGGCCGGCACTGTGGCATAGCTGGTAAAAGCTGCTGCCTGCAAGTGTTTTTTTTTTTTTTTAATATTTATTTATTTGAAAGGCAGAGTTAGAGAAGGAGAAGCAGAGAGAGAGAGAGAGAGAGAGAGAGAGAGGGAGGGAGGTATTCTATCTGCTGGTTCACTCCCCAGTTGGCTGCAACAGCAGGAACTGTGCCCATCCAAAGCCAGGAGCCAGGTGTTTCCTCCAGGTCTTCCCACATGGGTGCAGGGGCCCAAGGACTTGGGCCATCTTCTACTGCTTTCCCAGGCCATAGCGGAGAGCTGGATCAAAAGTGGAGCAGCCAGGACTCGAACCAGTGCCCATATGGGATGCTGGCACTGCAGGCAGCAGCTTTATCCGCTATGCCACAGTGCTGGCCCCATAAAAATAAATAAATCTTTAAAAAAAATGGCTAAGAAAAACATGAAAAATGTTCATTATCACCAGCTATCAGGCAGATGCACAGTAAAATCACAACCAGAAATCATTCCACTCGAGTTAGAATGATTATTATCCCAAAGTCGAAAAACAACAAATGCTGGCAGGCATATGGGAAAAAGGGGATCCTAATATACTGTTGGTAGGAGTGCACATTGGTATAACCATTACGAAAAACAGTATGAAGATTCCCCTAAAAACTAAAAATAGATGTACCATATCACCTAGCTATCCCACTTCTGGGAATATATCCAAAAGATATGAAGCCAGTATATGGAAGACATGTTGCATTTCCATATTTATTGCAGCTCAATTCACAATAGCTAAGATTTGGAATCAACCTAGATGTCACAGATGGATAAAGAAAATGTAGTATATATATATGTGATGGAACATTTACTTAGCCATAAAAAAAAAGAATGAAATCCTGATGTCAGCAAAAAAATGAATGTAACTGAGTTAAATAAGCCAAAGAAAAATAAATTCCATGTTTTCTGTCATATGAGGAAATTAAAAGAGTATGAAAAATGTGTGGATGTCATATTTGCTATATAGATATTATAAATGTTGTCTTCACTGAATTATACCATCTATAATAATATACCCTTCTTTACTTTATGATCTTTATCATGAACTCCACATGTGACAGCATTATCCCCGCTTTTAAGAAAAATACTATGGGGGCAGCACTGTGGTGTAGTAGATTAAGTCTCTGCCTGCAGTGTTGGCATCCCACATGGGTGCTGGTTCGAGTCCTGATTGCTCCACTTCCCATCCAGCTCTCTGCTGATGTGCCTGGGAAAGCAGTGGAGGATGGCCCAGGTGCTTGGGTCCCTGCATCCATGTTGAAGAAGCTCCTGGCTTTGGATCAGCCCAGCTCTGGTTGTTATGGCCACTTGGGGAGTGAACCAGTGGATGGAAGACCTTTCTTTCTTTCTCTCTTGCTGTTTTAACTATACCTCTCAAATAAATAAATAAACCTTAAAAAATAAAATAAAAACATTTAAAAATAAAAAAGAAAACTGTATGTGTAGGTATGTCTATAGAATTTACATGTGAAATAATATGGTAAAATGTTAAAAATTGTCAAATCTATGTGTGTTCCTTGAGCTCTTTTTACTTTTGTGTAATAGTTATACTATTTTTAAAATAAAAAAGAACAAGAGGCGAGATACAGGTGTTGTCCACCACTTGGCCCGCAGACTGAGACCCGGGACGGAGCCTATAGCATAGCACAGCACAGCACAGCACAGCACAGCTGGCCCATGGAGCGGGGTTGCAGTCTGGCAGAAGGAACCGCATGACAGATCTTCGCCTGGGGGGCGGGGGCAGGGCCCACCAGGCTGCTCCAAACCTCCAGAAGAGGAACGAGAAAAGCAGGAGTGGGGGTCTGGCGTGGCCTCAGAGGGCCTGGGTGCGCTCAGCAGGCTAAGTGCCTGAGCTCAGGGTTTGTCTGCTCTGAGCTCCGCTCCAGAGCTGGAGGCCTGCAGAGTGGCCTGGTAGAGCCCTTTGGCTGTCCACCTAGGGTGCGAGACTAGGACTGAGCAAACAAAAATCAACAAAAGCAGACTGGATGCCAGCTGCTCAGTACCTCCCCTCATAACCTGGGCTCTGACCAGCAGGGTGGGGGTTGGGGGTTGTTGTCAGTGACTGTCCTCTCCTGGAACTGAGAAGTACAGGCCTGAGGGTCTCGAGAGCTCAGTGTTGTCAATGCTCGCTCTGCAGGATGAAGGCCTGAAGGAGCTTTGTAACAATAGCTGGTCAGGGGCTGGCTCTGTGGTGTAGCGAGCTAAGACTCTGCCTGTGGCGCTGGTATCCCATATGGATGCCAGTTTGAGTCCCAGTTGCTCCACTTCCAGTCCAGCTCTCTGCTATGGCCTGGGATAGCAGTAGAGGATGGCCCAAGTGCTTGGGCCCCTGCATCTGCATGGGAGACCTGGAAGATGCTCCTGGCTTTGGATCAGCACAGCTCTGGCTGCTTCAGTCATTTGGGGAGTGAACCAGTGGATGGAAAACTTTTCTGTCTTTGCCTCTGTCTCTCTGTAACTCTGCCTTCCAAATAAACTTTTTTTTTTTTTTTTTTAATAGCAGTGCATGGCACAGGAACTGTAGCACCTGTGGCGCTGGCACTGGTTCGAGTCTCAGCTGCTCCACTTCTGATACAGCTCCCTGCTAATGTGCCTGAGATTCTCAGAAGAAGCTCCTGGCTCAAGTCTTGCCCAGACCTTGGTGTTGTGGCCATGTGGGGACTGAAACAGCAGATGGAAGATGTCTCTGTATCTCCTTCTCTAACTCTGCCTTTCAAATAAATAAATCTAAAAAAAAAAAAATTAGCAGTGCACACCTGCAAACCTTGGAGGGACTGGGACTGACTTAGCAAGGTGGGGAGGCTGGGGCTGTCCCAGGGTTAGCACGGAAGTCCCACATTCTGGGGAATCCTGCCAACTAGGGCAAATAGGGACAGTCCCCCTTAAGCCTGGTCGTCAGGGATTCTGTGGTTACGTTTGGTTCTCCCCGTTTTTTGTTTCACGTTGCCTAGGAGAGTCCTCTGGGCAGCCAGCTGGAGAACCACCGCTAGCTTCGTCCTCAAGAACAGAGGATCCCTGTTCTGGACTCTCCACTCCCTGTGCAAGGGCTGGTGCTTGGCTTGGTAAAGTCCTGACTGCACATGAAGTCAGTCCTGTCAAAGGTGCTGGCTTCATGGCAGTCATTAAAGACATGCAGAATCAACAAGGGAAACACAGGGAGTCTGAAGAAGGTTCTAGAACTATGTCACACCAATTTTATTCTGCCAGTAAGAAAATATGACATGGCAATTAAGCTACTGCTTGGGATACTTGTATTTCATACCAGAGTGCATGGGTTTGTGTCCTGGCTCTGCTGCTGCTGCTGCTTTTTTGTTTTTTGTTTGTTTGTTCGTTTTTTTTAAGGATTTATTTTTTACGTGAGAGTCAGAGTTACACAGAGACAGGAGAGGCAGGGGGAGAGAGAGGTCTTCCATCCGATGGTTCACTCCCCAATTGGCTGCAACAGCCGGCAGCCGGAACAGCGCCGATCCGAAGCCAGGAGCCAGGAGCTTCTTCCGGGTCCCCCGCGTGGGTGCAGGGGCCCAGGGACTTGGGCCATCTTCTACTGCTTTCCCAGGCCACAGCAGAGAGCTGGATCGGAAGTGGAGCTGCCAGGACTAGAACTGGCGCCCATATGGGAAGCTGGTGCTTCAGGCCAGTGCGTTAACCTGCTGTGCCACAGCACCGGCCCCCTGGCTCTGCTTCTAATCCAGCTTCTTGCTAATGTGAACCTTGGGTGAAACAACAGGTGATGACTCAAGTTCTTGGGCCCCTGACACCCTTGTGGGAGACTTGGATTGAGTTCCTGGCTCCTGGCTTCAGCCTGGCTCTGGCTGTTGTGGGCACCTGGGGATGAACCAGTGTGGAAGATCTCTTGGTCTCTAGCTCTCTGCCTTTCATAATTTTCATAAAATGAAAATTTAAAAACTATGAATGGGTTTCAAATTGTTTTTGCACCAAAATTAATGTTTTAAATTCCATTTTTCCACAAACTTTTTGAAGCATGCTCATGTATATAAATTAAGTAGTGGAGGGGCCGGTGCTGTGGCGCAGTGGGTTAAGCCACCATCTGCAATGCTGGCATCCCTTATGGGCACCAGTTCAAGTCCCAGCTGCTCCACTTCCAATCCAGCTTCTTGCTAATCACCTGGGAAAGCAGCAGAAGATGGCCCAAGTTCTTGGGTTTTCCTGGACCCACCTGGGAGACCCGGAAGAAGCTCCTGGTTCCTGGCTTTGGTCTGGCTCAGACCTTGCTGCTGCGGCCATTTGGGGAGTGGACCAGCAGATGGAAGAGCTGTGTCTCTCCTTTTCTCTCTCTCTGTAACTCTGCCTTTCAAATAAATAAATAAATACATTTTTTGAAAAAGGACTAAATTTTAAAAGAGTAAATTAAGTATTAGGACATGGAAGATATATGATTTTGTACCCCTTTGTCATGTTCCTTAGAAAACTGAGAACAGTATTTTCAAAATCCTTATTTATTATTTTGAAAGGCAGTGAAAGAGAGAGAGAGAGAGAGACAGACAGACAGACACACCGTCCATCCACTGGATTGTTCTCCAAACACCCACAACAGTCAGGGTTGGGCCAGGAACTCCATCCAGGTCTCCACATGGTGGGCAGGGACTCAAGTACTTGGGCCATCACCTGCTGTCTCCAGGATATGCATTAGCAAGAAACTGGATTGGAAGCGGGATATCCAGGACTTGAACCAGGCACTCTGATATGGGGTGCAGGCATCCCAAGTGGTGACTACCTGCTGTGCCACAACATCTCCACAAAAACAATGATTTTAATATTAACTATATCCTATAACGTGAATGAGTGATCATTTTAAGTTGCCCTCCATCTTCCTCCTCCTCTCTCGCAGTAACCGTTGTGGATAGGATCTGACCACCAGGCTTACTGGTTTCTGAGAACACGGTCTCAAGAGGGTAATGGTGGGTAAGAGGCCAGTGCCGATTTTAAGGCTCTCGCTCTGCTTTGCCCGACTGCCGCCCAGAGGTGGTTGCCTTCACGCTTCTTCCAGCAGTGTCTGAGTGAGCTCCCTTCACGCACTCTGGCTAACACCGGGTATCAGCATTTTAAACTCCTTTGCTGATATTTTCAAAATGCCAGTTCTCAATTGCTGTATTAATAGCAATGGTAATAGCTGTGTTAATAACTACTGCTGTTTTAATAGTGTCCAAATGATGGGGGCAGGAGGCAGGGGCTTGTCCCACCAGCAGGGCCCCAGCGCTACTGACCTGGAGTATCAGCGTGCTTCTCCCTTCTTGGCACACGGACCAGCGGGTGGGGCTGACCACGCCAGGCCCCCCGTGCCGCTCTGAGCTGTGGCACTGCTCACAGAAGGTGTTCCCCCACCCCCACCCTGGGGAGCAAGTCCCCCTCCCCCACCTGTGAGCAAGTTCGAGCACACCCTGGGCCTCACCTTGTTCTTGGCCAGTACGTTGGCTCCTGCTTGAATGAGCAGCTTGGCAGACTGGCTGAAACCATGCCAGGACGCTTCGTGCAGGGCCGTGTTCCCGTCCTAAGGGACACACAGGGGGACAAGGCAATCACTCAACACCTACTTGTTCGCATGGTCTTCAACACGTCACGGTGAGTTTCTAGGGCATTCCCCAGGGCCTTTCTCAATGGGGGTTCCTCATCTGAGCCCCGACGGAACAGTTTGAGTGCCAAATCTCTACTCACATGGGAAGAACCTCTAGAGCCAGAGAAGCCACGTGAGCTCATACCACCCGGTGGCTGCCTTCGGCACCAGGCCTCAAGCTTTTCTTAAGAGACGGGTTGAGGAAGGCTCCAGGGCCCATGCAGGGGAAGCAACACAGGAGGGCACCTTGCCCATTCCTCCCCAGCTCTGCCCCCGGCACCAGGGAGGACCTAGCAGAGCCAGAATCCAGCTTCAAGAGTGCCAGTGCCTGGCAGGTGGATCCCTGTCCCCCAATTTCTTTTTTAATCCAAGTTTAATCTCATCCAACTCAATCCAAAGGTCTCCGAACCCCCAACAAATGAGCAGGCTCTGAGGAAGCAGTGATTGTAAAAATCAAATGTCCTCAACAAGCAGTTTTCAAACAAAAACCAATTAACACAGCTCAGATTTGCTTAACCCACTACAAAAGAAGCAAGAAGCATCACTAAGTACGGTGAGTGGAGTGCGATGGGGAGGAAGCCATCCCGGGGAGAGGGAGCACCACGCGGACAGTGGAGACGCCCTCCCCATGCTGTTCCAGACCAGCGCACAGGGCAGTCACCCAGGGCGCTGCAGGCGCATTCGCCTACTCTGTCTGGGTTCCACACTGTTGCCCCTGGAAGTTCCTGGAAATATGCACAAAAGAGGCCAGGCCTACTACTGCTGACACACACAGGGGGAGTCTAGGATCCCCAAGGCACAGAGCCGGTCAGTATGTGCCCTGGCCAGGCAGAGTGACAGCAAACGGAGAGGGGAGGAGGGGCTCTCGGGTCACAGGGTGAGGGCGCTGGGTGCTTTTCCATCAGGGCTGCACAGGTGTGAACAGGCAGTAAAAGTCACAAGCAGCCAGGTGAGCACCTCTGCTTTTTGTGTATATTACCTTGAACACAAAGGTTACCGAGACAAGCAGAGGCTGCGAGGCCCTTAATTGTCAAGTTCCACGTTTTAAGATTGTCCAATAATTTAAAAACATTGGGGCAACATATAGTATGCTATTAAGATTTCTTAAAGAATTAGTTTCACTTATTTTCTTCCTTCCAACATAAAGAAATCAATTTTGCTCACTTATCCAAAAAATAAAAAGCAAATTAAATTCACATCCTTTTCCCCTGCTCCCACATCCGGGCCCTCCATTGGTCATCATTTTTAAGATTTTTTCCCCTTATTTAGATTTGTGCTCTTGTTATTGGTGCCACAACGCAGGGGAAAGCAAAACAGAAAACTGGCTGGGGTGCTAGCACTCTGTCATGTTGAATCATGAACGCTAAGACCTAAGAAGGACACTATCTCGAGTGCTCGACAGGCCCCATGCCGCCTGCGCCCTGCCTCACCTTGTCCTGCCTGTCCAGGGCACAGCCCTCCTGGATGAGCGCCGCGATGATCTCCGTGTTCCCCACCACTGTGGCCCGGTGCAAGGCAGTCTGGTCCCCCTGCAAAGCGACACAGAGGTAGGGACAGTGGTCAGCTCTCCCCAGGACACTTCTGCACCCAGACACAAGTCCAGGTCCCCACACAGAACACGCTGGTTCCCCACGGAAGGGCTTGGCTACCAGGTTTTGTGGCTTGTTAGATGACATGCTTGGCACAGCCCCCTTCCTCACACACCTACAGAGGTCCTTAAGCCAACAGCAAGAACAGGTCTCAGCCCAGACTGATGTCCGAATGAGGGTCAGGCCCTCCCCTGCCATCCCAGGGATGTGGCTGTCGGGTGTGAGAAGAGCAGGTATGGGAGCCGGGCTGTGTAAACCGGTAGCTGCCTGGAGTCGTAACGAATCCCGAGTCCTCGGGCTCCCGGCTGGCAGAGGATTCACTCTGCAGCTCTGCCACTTGGTGGCACCCAGGATCTGATGACAGGTGTGGCATTTGTTCACTGACTTGTACTAGCCAAGAGCAATGGAGGGCTTGGCTCTGCCTCATCTGAGTGCAGCCTATCCCTGCAGACCTCGAAGGAGCCTCCTCATACCGCCCTCCCTGATTCATTCTGCATTTTCACCCCTTTTCTCCCAGGATCAGATTCCTTGGATTGCAGACTGTTTTTTTTTCCTCCTTCAGGCGCCAAAGGCAACTTGATTCTTTCCCCTAATTGCAGCACAGAGGAGGACAAAACACCCCCGGAGGTAAGAAGGTCAAGACTGTAAGGAGAGAGTTCTGAAGTCTCCAGAAGCACACTTGATCTCTGACACAGTCCCAGGAAGGCGAGTTGGGGCAAATCAGGTTGAGCCTGAAGTCCAGGCCTGAAAGGGAGATGCGTGAACCACGTGACAATTTTGGAAAGCACTGGGCACAGGGCAATGGAGTTGGGACACCTGGGTTGCCCATGGCTCTGGGAGGAACCTGCTACCTTGTGGGACCTCGGGATCTTCACCTGTATAACAAGGGGCTCCACGATCCCTCCAGGTCCCTCCCTTCCCTCCTCAGAGTTTTGTATAAAATGCCGTTTCTGGGCAGAGCACAGCAGGTGCAAGGGGCACCCTCTGGAACCTCCCTGGTGGTGGAAAGAGGGACTAGTACGAGACAGACGTCGGAGAGAATTCTTTAAAGAGGGATTCAATATTGCCTGTAAACAACCTGAGGAAACGTTAATAAATACCAATGCATACGAAAGGCATTTATGGAAAACAGCTCTGGAGATGGGTGATGGTGATGGTGATGGCACAGCAACAGGAATGTTAAGTGTTACGTGCATTTTATTATAGCAGTGAAACACTCAATGCTAGTTAAAATCCAAATTTGCTTTTTTTAAATTTAAAAAGTTGAGGGGGGCCTGCACTGTGGCACAGTAGGTTAATCCCCTGCCTGCGGTGCCAGCATCCCATGTGGGCACCGGTTCTAGTCCCAGCTGCTCCACTTCCGATCCAGCTCTCTGCTATGGTCTGGGAAGGCAGTGGAGGATGGCCCAAGTCCTTGGGCCCCTGCACCCACGTGAGAGACCCGGAAGAGGCACCTGGCTCCTGGCTTTGGATTGGCGCAGCTCTGGCCATTGCAGCCATTTGGGGAGTGAACCAATGGAAGGAAGACCTTTCTGTCTCCCCCCTCACTGTCCGTAACTCTACCTCTCAAATAAAATAAATAATAAAAATCTTAAAAAAAAAAAAAAAGTCAAGGGCCCAGTTTTATGGCACAGCAGGTTAAGCCACCGCCTGGGACACCCGCATCCCACATCAGGAGTGCAGGGTCGAGTCCCAGCTGTGCTTTCCACCTCTCTTCTCGCTACTGGGCCTGTGACGGCAGCAGAAGACGCTGCCTACGTGGGAGACCTGGATGTCGTTCCAGGCTCCTGGCTTCAGCCTCGTTCAGCCTTGGCCATCGTGGCCGTTTGAGATGTGAACAAGCAAATGGATGATTATTTCCTTCTCTATGCTTTTCAAATAAGTAAAATAAGTCAGTCCTGAAAAACAGAATTTAAAGAGTCTCCCTTTAAAAATTCATAAGGGCAGGTGATTCTTGTTTTCTCCTCTATACTTCTTCCTATGTTCCAACCCTGTATATTTACTGCATAACTGAGCGTCAGGAAGGAAGTGTGGAATTTAAGGTGATGTGCAGTGGTGTGCTCAGGGTATGCAGTCTGTGACCATGATTTCACCCACTGTCGTCACTCCCTACCCCTCCCCTCGGCTCCTAGATGCTCATTCCCATTAGAAACCAGGCTTACACGGGCTTTCTTCTCCCCATTTTCTCAGACCCCTTATTCAAAGAGGACCCTGTCTGTGAGCCAGGCAGTCAGAGAGGAACGTGGTCACGGGGTCAGTGGATGCAGGTGTCCATCTAAGGAATACGAGGGATCTTCAAAATGTTCACAGTGGTGGTAGTGGGGGCGCATCTGGCACAGCAGTAAGTCCTTACGTGGGATTGCCTCATTGAACCCCATCTTCCTGCCAGTGCACCTCCCGAGAGGCAGCAGGTAATGGATGACTCAAATGCTGGGTACCTGTCACCAAGGGGGTACAAGTGGCGTTCCTGGCTTCTGCCTGCCCAGCCCTGGCTGTTACAGGCATTTGGGCAGTGAACCAGTGGATGGAAGATGTCTGTTTTTCTGTCACTCAAATAAAATGAAAATTTAAAAAAAAAAGCACAAAGCTCATGTTTAAAAGAAGTTGACAGAAAATGCATATTAAAAAAAAACTATGCATGGATTTCAAAAATCTTTTGTGCCAAAATAAACTTATTTTTTGAATTATATTTTCCAGGAACTTTTTGATATGCTCTCATTTTTCTAGATAAGATCTACTTGCCCACTGAAGCAATTGTATAAGGTAGAGCTTACGTTTTAACTTTTTAAAACTTTCAGAAGAACTTTTTTTTTTTTTTTTTTTTTAACAGGCAGAGTGGATAGTGAGAGAGACAGAGAGAAAGGTCTTCCTTTTGCCGTTGGTTCACTCTCCAATGGCCACCGCGGCTGGCGCACTGCGCTGATCCGAAGCCAGGAGCCAGGTGCTTTTCCTGGTCTCCCATGGGGTGCAGGGCCCAAGCACCTGGGCCATCCTCCACTGCACTCCCTGGCCACAGCAGAGAGCTGGCCTGGAAGAGGGGCAACCGGGACAGAATCCGGCGCCCCGACCGGGACTAGAACCCGGTGTGCCGGCACCGCTAGGTGGAGGATTAGCCTAGTGAGCTGCGGCGCCGGCCTAGAAGAACTTCTAAGACTTCTTAGGTCCCCATCAGGCTGGGGATGGGTGCTTCTAATAGGGATCTCCAGCACATGTACAATCGCCGACGCGCTGAGGAAGACGGCGCTCTGTTCTGAACAAGACTGGGGAGACGACAGCCCACTCATTGAAGACAGCACCAGCGTGGCCAGATTTCCAACTGCTTGGCGCTTTCGAGACTCCCACAGCCCGCAGCCATTCCCTAGCACTCCTCGGACCGATCAGAAGAACCTTAACCACTGCCTGTGCTGTGTGTGACACGTGAGCGACAAACTCTGAGCACGTGGGTCACACCAGCCACTCTTGGCGAACAGATTATCACATGCAGGGCGTGCCTGGTTAGGGTTTAGGGCACAAGTCTCCTCGTAGTTCACACGCTGCCCACTGAATCACGAGTGCCAGCCGCTTTGGAGCCAGCGCGGAGCCATTATTTATGACTTGCTGCCATCAGCAACCTACGAGCGTGCCTCCCCTCTCCTCTGTGAAACCCCCGCTCAGTGCAAGCAGCTAGATCCAACTCTCAGGTCAGTTCTTCAGAGTAAACTCTCCGAGGGGTGATCAGGGCCAGTGGAGGAGCTCTACCGACTTGAGCAACGCTGCAGTGAGAAGACAGGTTGTCCTAAGCCAGTGGGCACAGCGGTCTCTTTCTCTGCGGGGACCCCATTGCCGCACTGCCTGACTCCAGGCCACAACTCCTCTCCTGGCTTCCTTGGTCAGATAAGCACTGCTATGAAGGCCAAATTCAGCTTCCTCTGCCACCTCGCCCCCTACACTGGGGGCTGTCCTCAGTTGGACTGCTAGTGTTGCTTACGCTCGCTGGAACGGTCCTGGGCTGGGTGATCTACTTCCTCTGGCTCTTAGAAACCAGCCGCTCTCAAGCTACTGCAGTGAGAACTTAAAGGCTCCGAGAGACACCGAACACCTAAACAAAGACTGCCTTGGTTATCATCTCGGAGCTACTCTGCCTTAGAACACAACACAAACAATTTCTCATGGAGACACCCTCAGCTGAAGCAGGGTCAGTTAACTAATGAATCGACCCTTTGCTTCTAGAAGATTAAAATTCACTGTTGAAACACTTCCTTCTGGAAACACGACAGAGAATAAGATGTGCCCTCAAATATATACCAACAGATCCAAGCAGCACCTTTGACATAATGCTTATTTCTATACGATCTAAATCAATCATGACATTCTAAAACTTTGAAAGAAAAATGTTGGGAAAAGTACAGTGCTTTCAGCAGCATTTGCTAATATTTGTTCAGTGAATATTTACTGATCCCCTGTGGGGAGCAAACCGGACTAGACTGAGTTACTGGAATTAAGACTTATTCTATGCATCTGCTTCCCCACAATATGGCGCTGGGAGAGAAGTAAACAGCTTCCGCACAGCTGCCTCCAGTTCAACTAATAAACTGTAGGACTTGCTCCTGATTGGAGGAGAGCAGCGTACTCGGCGTGTGGGCAGCCAAGTTAGGATTGGCGGAGGAGGACTATAAAGGAGGAGAGAGACGGCATGCACCGGGAACATCTATGGGGAACATCTAAGGGAACCCGTGCAGCCCCCAAGAGAACCGGCCGGCGGTGTGCCGCTCCCCTGCGGAAGTGGGGAATGTGGCCAGGGGGAACTGCCCTTCCACGGAGGTGGAAGGGATAGTAGCCAATCCGGGAAGAACCAGCAGCAAACCCGGGGAGGGCCGAGCAGACGAAAGAACAGCGCAGGGTCCTGTGTCGTTCCTCCACGAAGAGGGGGAGCGACATAATGGTGCCGTGACTCGGATATG